TGTGTGTGTGTGTGTGTGTGTGTGTGTGTGTGTGTGTGTGTGTGTGTGTATTTGAGCTTTTCATGTCTTACTTTTAAACTTTAAGACAGAGCCAAAGCAACCTTTAACCTAGAGCTGAATTTTTACACAGTGATGATGCAATAATATCCTTCTGAGTCCTCTCCCTAATGCCTCAAACTTTATAATATATTCCACTGTGCCTGATGGAAACATGAACTATTCCCAACCCTGTGTAATATCAGAGGATTGTTCTGCCTATCTATAAGGTAACTCTTTCCTCAGCCTCTGATAGTCTCTTCATATGCTTATACTTATCAATACTTAGCTGAAGACTTGGGGAAGACCCAGTTCAGATCTCCAGAGCTTTCCCGTAGTATGTTGTCCTGAAATCTCTAGCTATCTTGGACTCACCAAACTCTGAACTCTGTCTCTTCAATTCACAAAGACCTCTAGGCTCTGCCAGGTTGTACCTCATGTCATGGACACTCTAGGCAGTAAGCTAGGGCCACAACTTGTTTTCCACTTTCTCAGGAATTATTGCCTTGTGCTGGCTGTTGTTTAATATATGAAAACTACTGTGTTTTTTTTCCCCCCTCTACTGTTTAAAGGGGGGAGATAAATCTGGTCTGTTACTTCACTTGGCCAGAAGCATAATTTGGTCTTTCATTTTAAAGAGCAAAGGAGGCCTACATTTTTTATGTCAGAAGGTTGAAATTTAGGGGTTTTTTTGGTACTGGTTGGGCCAAAGAATTTATGCCTAAGGATGTTTATTTTTTATGACATTTCTTAAGGTTTTTATTTAGCATCTTTAGGAAAACCAACTTCTTCTCAGTATAAAAGATAATCCTCTTGGAGTAGAAAGAATGCAAGAGTCATGCATCGCCTGAGAGAAAATTTCAACACCCTTAGGGCAAACTCAAGGCTATACCTAAGACAACAAGTTTCCTCAGGATTTGTGTGAAAGGAAGCCTACTTAGGAGGGTTTGTTTGATCATTCTTCAGAGAGTGAGTGAATTCAAAACAGGGAATGAACAAACAAGATTAGAATGATTGAGATATCATATAGAAAAAGCGAATGTCTCATTTGGAAGGTGATTTGAGGCACTGTTCTCAAGAGTCGGGATATCAGGACTCAGTGTCTACAAATTACATATATTATCTTTTATAATCAGGGTGAGAGAGAAAAAAAGAGGGAAAATGCAAAATAGAAATGAGTGATTAAAGAGATTCCTGTCTAATGGGGCACTTGGGAAAGAGAATATTTGTGGTTTAACCCAAAATCTATTTGAAATTGACTTCTCACTGCCATTTTCTACTATAGAAGCTGAAAAGTGAGATACTCACTTTCTCAACATCCATTAAATGTAGGGAGGCAGTGTTGTGGCCAGTTAGATATGTGGAGAAATCTGCTGGAGGGCCACTGGGCAGATTTCCTTTGCTGTCAAAAGAAGAAAAGTCCTAATTAGTACTACCCTTCCCCATTTTTTACCTTCTTCTTGCCTTGAGCTTGGATAACATGACTGGTATTGTGGGAGCCATCTTGAAACCAAACAACAGATGAAAATCCAATTCTCTAAGAAGGGCAGAAGAGGAATAAAAAGAGGCCTGGACCCTTCTTGACATTTTGAATAGTTGGACCAATGCCAACAACTCCCTTACACTGAACCTCTATTTTTTAGGCCATTATTTTTTGGGTTTTCTCAAACTTAAAGCTAATTCCATTCCTTGCTGATACAGAAGCAAAACATAAATTGGCAGGGCTGCACTTTGTTCGTCTGCACACTGAAGACAAATTAGTCCAGTAATAATGACCAAACACACTGGGAATAAGCAAGGCAAGGTGGCTGATATCCATGACCCATTTCTAATTATTCTTTGCCATTTGTTTTACATGTTTGTACCTAGAAAGACTGTTTAAATTGGTGGAAACTGTCCACTGACTATAGTATCAGGAACCAAATTACTTCTCCAAGTAACACACAAAAAAAGAAATGTTTGGGTAAAGCAACAAGACTTGAGGAGAGGGGAAAAAAGATTTGGTGTCCTGTTTTTCCAGGTGAGGTAAGGGAAATGGAGATGCTGAGTAACACACCTCCTCAGTTACTGATGCAGAAATCTTCAGACAGCATTCTGAGCAAATTCTTGATCCACTTCAATTTTCTCCTCGTCCTTCAACTTGCCATGAGGAATTGAATGTGAAAAATGAGTACTTCTTTTCTTGAACTCCTTGAAAATTAAGAAACACACTTAGATGATCCTTGGATAATAATAAAAACCGTAATACCACACACAGAAGAAATTACAAGAAACATAAAAATACAGACCTATAGAAAATAAATGTGAAAACCTAGAATGGAGTATTTCCTACAAAATATAAATTATCAGAATTAATCCAAGAAGTGAATGTTTTGAACCAAAGATATTAGAAAAGAAATTAAAAATCCTACCTCTAAAAAAGGCAGCCTCAGGACCAAAAGATTTCTCGGCCAAGTTTCATCTAATCTTTAACATATAATTTCAATGATCTCTTATTTAAACAATTCTAAAGTGTAGGAAAAGATGAAAAGCTCCCCAATTCATTCTATGAAACAAGTATTGCTTTCTAAAAATGTTTTATTCAAGTATAATATACATACAGAAAAGTGTACATATAAGTGTAAATTACATGAATTTTCATGAACTAAACAATCCAACATAAACAAGCACCCAGATAAAGAAACAAAATACTACCAGCACTGCAGAAGTCACCATCAGACTCCCTTTCAGACACTCTGTCCTGCCCTACCTATCTCTCACTGAAGTAACCACTCTCCTAACTTCTAACAGTTAACATAGATTAGGTTTGCCCACTTTTGTACTTTATATAATGGAAAGCATACAGTATTCTTTTATAGCTGCCTTTTTAGGCTCAACATAATGTTTCTGAGATTCATCCATATGTTGCTTGTACTTGTACACTGTTCATCCTCGTTGCTGTATAATATTCCATTGTATGAATACCAAAATGTATTTATCCATTCTATAGTAGATGGACTTTTAGGTAGTTTCTGGTTTGAAGCTATTACTAATAATGGTGCTATAAGCATTCTAGAACATATCTTTTGGTGTACATATGTATGCATTTTATTGGGTGTCTGCCCAGAAACAGTTATTAGATTTCATCTGTTCACTTCAGTAGATTCATCCAAATGGTTCTCCAACATGTTTGAATAAATTTGCATTCTCACTGGCTAGGGGGTGAGCCTTCTGATTAGTTCCACATTTTGTCAACCTGCATAATTTTTTACATCTAATAAAAAGTTCACTGAAGAAACCCACAGACCAATCTCACTTAGGAATATGCATGCTGAAATTCTAAATAAAATATTAGCAACTGGAAAACCGATTTATAAAAGAAAGAATAACACATTATGACCAAGTAGGTTTTATTCCAAGGAGACAAGGATGGCTTAACATCAGCAGCTCTACAAAAAATCTAGCTAGTCACCAGATTAAAGGACAGTAACATCCAACCACATCAAAAGAAGCTGAAAAGGCATTTGACAAAATTCAGCAGCTATTTCTAGTAAAATCTCTTGGTAAAACAGGAAAGAATTTATTTAAATAAGATTATTTACCAAATAGCAACACAAATACTCAAAATAGCTAAATACACAAACTATTTCAATTAAAATCAATAGCACTCAGAGATGCCTGCTATCACCATTATCACTTAACACTATAATGGAGTTTCTAGACAATGAAAATTCTAGAGAAGAAAAGAATTTTTCAACCACTGGAAAAAGTTATTTTTGTGATTATGTGAGTCTGAGTGTCATTACATTTGTGACTGTCATAATTATATTTCTAAAAATCCCAAGAGACTGCAGTGAAAACTTCTGGAATTAATGAGAAAATTTAGTAAGTATATATAATAAATGTGTTGTATTCAAGGTAAGCACACACACACAAAAGTAAGCTTTTTATTTATAATAAGCCTTTAGAAATGGAAATGGAAAAAAATCCATTCTCAATAATGACCAAAAGACTAAGGAACAAGACTACATTTAGTTAAAAAAAAAAGACACAGGACTTAAGTGAAGAAAAGTCTCAAATCTCAATCTTACTAATGATATAGACAGGATCTGAGCAAACAGAAAATGATACAATTTTGTTAGTTCTTAGAAGACAATATCATATGTCAAATTTCCCAAAATTAATCTTTACATTTAATGCAGTTTCAACTGCTAATTGGATAAAATGATCACAAACTTCAAATGCCTGATAATAAACAAAAAAGGCAGTAAAAAGAACAGTAGTTCAGGAGTGTGGGGTGACACAAAGATCTGCCTGACCATTTTATAAGGCTACTGTATGCAAACATAGAGTCACTGTAATTAAATGCATATTGCCATATATAGAGTACTATAAGCAGAGTATATTGAGAAATCTCATTATATATGAAAAATTAATATATGACAAAGTTGGTATTTCATTTCATTGGAAAAAGATAATTTGATAAGAAGTGCTGGAACAATTGGCAACCCACTCAGAAGAAAGTAAAGTTGGATCCATAGCTTGCATTCTATACAAAAACAAATTCCAAATGGAGTAAAGACAAATGTGAAAAAAACACTAACAACAAAAACCAAGAATAAAATGCATAAGCCATTCTAGGAGACTACACATGCCACCCAGGGGTGAAGGCCTTAATCAATAGAGAATACTTTGAAATTTTTATATATTTATAAATGTCCATATTTTATCAAATAATATACTTGAGTATATACTAATATAAAATTTTGAATGGGAAAAGGTATTATAAATATGGTAAACAAATTACAGTTTGGAGAAAACTTGCAAATAATATGATGAAGTGTTTACATATAATGTAGAAAGAGCACTTAAAATTTTTTTTAAAAAGACAGTGCACATATGGGCAAAATATTAATAAAAAATGAAGTGAATGAAAAATAAAAATGACTAAAAATTTACAATGTGAATAAAAAGATACAGATAATGCAATTCACCTTATAAGTGAAATCCATATGGCTAAGTTTTCTATGGAAAAAGTACTTAATACTATTAGTGGTCAATAGACAACTTACAAGAGTTGGGAAAACTGTTTGCAACCAAGAGTAGAAAGGCTTAATATGTGTAATATACAAAAACCTCCTATGAAGTAAATAAAAAATTAAAAGGCAAACACAACAGTAAGACACACACGGATGTAAAGCTATAAATAAAAATATGAGTATTTGTGGTAGACAGAATTCTAAGATGGCCCCCACGATCTTTGCTCCTGGTGTTACTCCCAAAATAATGCTACATTTACCAAGCAAAGGGAGTTTGTGGAAGTTATTTAAGGTTACAAACCAATAGACCTTAACATACAGAAATTATCTGGGTGGGCCTACTCAAGGCACATGAGCCCTTGAAAAGCAAGAGAGTTTTCTCTGAAGAGAAAACACAGAGTCAAGTATGAGAAGGATCTGATGAATCCTTGCTAACTTTGAAGATGGCAGGGGTGGGGGTAGCATTACATACAAGGACTGGAGAGTAACCTCTAAAAGCTGAGAAGAACTTCTGGCTAACAGCCAGCAAGGAAACAGAGACCTCCATCCTACAACCGTCCTACAATTTTAAGGTTTGAAATTCTGCCAACAACATGAATGAACCTGGAAGTGAATTCTTCCCCTATATCCTTTAGTGAAGAGCCCAGCCTGGCACACACTTTATCAGACACTAAACAGAGAGCCCAGTCAAGGCCACTTGAAGTTCTAACCCACATAACTATGAAATAATAAACAGGTATTGTTTTAAGCTGCTAAATTTGTGGTAATTTGTTATACAACAACAGAAAACGAATACAAAAGGTAATTTAATTATGAGTGAAATCCATAGATTTCAAATAACCAAAGAACATATGAAAAGTTATGCAGTTTTACAGTAATCAGGAAAATGCAAAAAAAAAGTAATATGGAGAAATCACTGTACACACCACCAGTCTTTTTTTTTTTCTAAATTTTTTTTAATGCTACAACAGCTATTGCTAGTGGGTATAGAAGGGCATTTTTATACTGTACATTTACTGATGAAAATATAAATTGTTCCAGCCTTTTTGGGAAACAATCTGTCAATACTTACTAAAAAATTTTAAATCTACGTATCTCTCAACCCAGCAATCCTACTGCAGGGACTCTCTTCCATAGGAGTGAAACCATCATGGTCATGAATATGTGCACAGGCACAATTACCAAAACAGTGAAAGTCTGGTAGTAAATGCCCACTGATTATGGAAGAAGTTTAAGACATCATCATCATCAGAGTATTCATCATTAAAAAGAATGAAATAGCAGCTATAAGAGAGACTTGAAGGAATTTCTATCACATATTGTTGGGTGAGAAAAGATGCAGAGGACATGTATTATCTCATTTATTTAAAGCAAACAGACCCACCAAAAAATTTTTATTCGTGTGTGTATATTTAGGAATTTAAAAGAAATCTATGTATGTATAGACTTATAAGTTGCTCAAAATATACATTAAATTTTAAAAGCAAATTGCAGAAAACATGTAGAATAAGACAAAACTCCATGCAGTATTCGTGTACGTGTACTTGTATGAGCAAGAAAAGAGACATATATCACGCTATTACTACACGGGGGGTGGTATGTGATGAGTTCTGCTATTATGTGTCTTCATTACTTATTGCTCTTTTTTGTTGTTTTTCAAGTTTTTATTTAGGTAATCTCTACAGCCAACATAAGTCTCAAACTTACAACTCCAAGATCAAGAGCATGCTCTTTCAACTGAGCCAGCCAGTACCCCCTTGTGTTGCTCTTTTAAATAATTGTATTAATTTAAATTGTATTACTTTTTACATCTGAGAAACATCTCCTTTCCCTTTATTTATCCTTAGCACTTACCACTAATATTCTGTATTTTTTACCTATATTATTTGTTGTTTTCCCCAACTGGAATGTAAGCCACATCAGGTAAACGATTTTGTCTGTTTGCTGATGAACGCCAGCACCTACGATGGCCTGGCACATAGCAGTCACCCAAATATTGAGGAAAGTAATATTTTATGTATAACTTCTTTAGGGCTACTCTTGATGTTCATTTTAACCTTGTTTCTCCTAAATACCTGATATTCTAGAAGTTATCAGGAGTGTGACAGAATTACGTGACAAGAAGTACGAATGCAGGGAGTGAGTAATAATTACTTGTTGGATGTTTATTACTGCCCAACATTTTATCAGGTGTTTTGTATCTATTATCTCAAATCAATCTATCAGGCAGATTTATGATATCCTTTTCACAGAAGAGAAACCAACTCACAAGAGTTAGCTTCACTACAGTTCCACTGACAATAAATGTCCTGTGTCCAGGCCAAAATCCTGTTCCTTCCTTTGTGCTATACTGATCTTAAAAGAATATTTTAATAATTAAAAAAGAGATAATAGTTCTTACATAATACATGGGTTTAACATTGAGATTTAATTGAATATTTCACACTCACACAATTCACTACTCTGTTGATGATTCTGTTAGTAAGTCATTTGATTGTTATATATAAATTGTCTGTCTAAACTTGTTGACTCTTTTACTCCTGAAGCAGTTAAGCTCTGCAGCTCAAGGCCGCTCGCCACCTAGAACCTGGTAGAGCAGTAGCAGTAAACCGAGACCACACAAGCTCTTCCGGGGAGAGTTAATAAACATTTAGATAATTACCATCAAATGATCTGGACAAAAAGCAGCCCTGAAAACATCCTGAGGGAATTGTCCTAGATTCTCCCAATTCAAGGCAAGCTCGCCAGAGGAATGCCTTTCTTAACAATCTTCTGCTGGAACTTCCTACTTCCTTGGAAAAAAACAGACAAAACCCCAGCCAGTTAGGAACAGCAGGACCATCTGAAGGTCACAGGGCAAGAGTGGTGGACCTGGCCTGGGCCCGAGACAGTCCTGGCAGGTCGAGGTTCCAGACTGCAGCAGCAGCCCCAGCCCCAGAGGCGAGCAGAGGTCAGTGGGGTGGTGGTGCGGAGGTGAGGGAAAGAAGGGGCCCCATAACAGGGTTCAGACACGCCGCATCCTCCCCCACACACTTTGCTCAATTCCAGTGCAGGCAGGACTGGAAGTGTGCAGCAGCGGGAGGGTGGTGCCTTCGGCATTCTGTTGCCACCTTCCAGGTGAGGTCCATATGCCCCCCCTAGTTAGGGTGCAGACCTCCATCTTGGAATCAGCCTCACAGATCTAAATACATTTGTGATTGGCTAGGGACTGGCGGAGAGGACTTTTTTTTTTTTGTCTTTCAGATCTGGATAGATTCAGAGTTTTGAAAATGTGCTGATTACTCACCCAACAAATAGTTATTGAGTACTTTTTGTATGGTAACGCACCAGGAGAGGGGCTAAGGGGAATAGAGGAAAAACAAAGGAGGAGCTTACAGACACTGAAGCAAACAAATGATCATTAACTGTTTTTAGTTCATTAGGTAACAGTGAGTAATAAAGTCTGAGTTGAGGATGGGGTATAATGAAGGCATTCATAGTAAGACTCATCACTACCTGCTCCCCATACCACAAAAAAGTCCACAAGATTTTGAAATATATAAAATAAACTTCTCACATCTTCCTTGCTAGTCTTTGCACTTCCAAAATAATTTTTAAAAATCACACAAAATTTGTGTTTATCTGCAGAGGCAAGCTGTATGTAACTTGCATACATCAAGGACACAAAACTGCATGGATCTCTAACCTTCAATTTCAAAAGTAAAATCATTTCTGCCTCCAGAAAGCAATGATGTTCCTAAGGAGAAAAAACAATCTTGCAAGGTTTATTTTTTTTTTAATTGGAATCATTAGACGTGTATCCCCACATATTGTAGGATATGAGAAATAGGAGCTTATTGTCTTGCTTGTTTAAAAGGCTGACCAGAATGAGTAAAAGAAAACCTGAATATTTTAGAGCTGGGAGAAAGCCTTTCTTCTGATCCTGAGATCTACAAGGAAACTGAACAGGTACTATTTCACTGAAAAACAAAGTTTCCATTTAAATGAATTAAGTGGTATTTTAGCTGAATGTGCAGTTTTCAAAAACTCGTGAATGTCAACTGGCAGAATCTAACCTTAACACTGATAGCTCTTACGGGACATTGCTAATTAACATTTTTTACATGCTATACATGTTAATTTTAACATGTATGAAACACAGCAGTCTCCATGTTGACCTGCAAACTATGTACAAACATAGTGCTTTTCCAGGCAGTCAAAATATGGAGACATTTACCACTTGTCTACATAGCAGTTGAGTCCTATATCAGGAGTGTTACTCATAAATGACTGTCAAAAGATGAGACCAATGAATTTTTTTTCTAAAATACACAATGAATGAAATTATTCCAACAGGATATTCGGAAATACATGGCCTCAAAAGTCTGTAGTAAAATATGCAAATATATACATATATATTTTATTTATTTATTCGACAGAGAAAGACACAGTAAGAGAGGGAACACAAGCAGGGCAAGTGGGAGAGGGAGAAGCAGGCTTCCCGCAGAGCACAGAGCCCGATGCGGGGCTCGATCCCAGGACCCTGGGATCATGACCTGAGCCGAAGGCAGACGCTTACCAACTGAGCCACCCAGGCACCCCTGCAAATATATTTTTAAGTGCTTTTAAAAGCATAGTCAAAATCATTCAAAACAGAATTCATCCTATAAAAATAATTCTCCAATCTTTTCGTGAGATTATCACTTGGCCACATGAGAACATTCTTACATGTCTGGTCTTCATGCTGACATATGCAAATGGCACAACATACCTGGGCCTATGTTAATATGGCTTCCTAAAATATCATAAAAACTATGTTGTCTGACATGTTACCAGGGGGCTCTAGGATAACTTTTGATGTAAAAATCTTTAATTTAGGTAACAAGGACCAATGACAAGCCAGAATTGGAACCATTTACTTTTGTAGGTCAAAAGATCTGAGAGGTCATTGTTCCAGGCCATTTAGAGAAAGGACAATGGGTGGTGGGTCCAGATTGCAGAGACATCTGGCGGCTTTTCCTTCTTGGTATGGTGCTTTTTTCCCCACACTCTCACCCAAATTAGCCAGAACCCAAAGTAAACTTTTTGATGAGATTTCTTTTGCTCTAACCTAAGTTAATCTTGTTTATTTATGAAAAATTACTGCCTTGGTCCCACTTCCATCAGGAAGTAGCCAGATATCAGTATACTTTAACATTTCAGCACATCTAAGTCACAAGTTGCTTGTTTTTACAACTCCTACTTAACATAAAATTTTGCTTTCTGGGGTGCCTGAGTGGCTCAGTCGGTTAAGTGTCCGACTTGAGTTTGGCTCAGGTCATGATCTCAGGGCAGGGAGATCAAGTCCCAAGTCATCCGCACTCAGCAGGAAGTCTGCTTAAGATTCTTTCCCTCTGCCCCTCCCCCACACTCTCTCTCAAATAAATCCTTAAAAAATCTTGTTTTCCACGCCGTTTATTTATTTTTTTAATTAAAGGAAGTTTTTCAGGTTGGGAAATTTCATTTGTGAATGATGGGTTTCCCTCACCATTACCCTTAATTTGATGATGTTATTATATGAGGTAATTCAAAAATATCTTTGGTCTGAGGTTGGAGATTGGGAAGCTGGTATATATACTGGATCTTATGAGAGCACAGAAAACTTTGGCACATGAATTAAGAATACTAATTCTAGTACTCCAAGTGTATTTAACAGATGTTTTACTGTGGGTTCTCCTTTACATTACTGGATTAATTATCTCTCTAAAGAGGAACACAGGAAAAGTCAATGTGGAGTTAGCATCTGGACCAGCCTTCAATGTAAGGTGAATGGCTAAACCATCAAGGACAAGAAAATTTTCTACAAAACAGGCCCTTCCTGTTGGCAGGATATTGCAGATTTTGTTCACTCAAATAGATCCTTCAAGTCTGACTGAGGCCACCATTACCTTTAGTCTAATTAAACAGGATTAAGAAAGGGCTCAGGGTTGTCGGAGCTAAGTGAAACAAAGTGAGTCATTTTCTGTATGGTGGGTTTTGAATTGTTTGGTTTTCAAAGTATGTAAAATATGCTAAATTAAAAATTGTGTTCCAGAAAATATGGATTTCAATTTTCAAACCTGCAGGTCAGTGCTTCTCCATAAAAGTGTCCTGATCATTGTAAGCAACAGGTATAACTAAGAAGTAAAAAGTGGAGGGACGCTTCCTGGTTATAGTGATTGGGTTAAATAGTGCTGCTAGATTCCTAAGTGTTCCTGGTGACTACCCTAGGTGCCAGAACACTCTGTGATGGTCTTGGGAAATCCAATGCAGGTCAGAATACCACTCTGGGGTACCCCAGAGTGTCCATCAATCCATGTAAAAACATTTAGCATCCTCCTGACCTTCTGAACTGGATTACTCTAAAAGCACTCCAGCAAATGTCTCAGTTAAAACAGACAAAAGGGATATTTCTGACACTACTGAAAAATGTGTCCATGACTAAGGATATAACACTCATTACTACAGAAGCACACAGAACATCAAAGAACACCAGATAGTTTCAAGGACACTCTTAGATTCCACATAACATTATGGCTTCAGACTGGAACAAAGAGATTGTGAATTGTGGGCAGAGAAAGCCTTTGAAAAATAATGCTGATTTGAAAAAGTAAGGGAAAGGGGAAGGCTTATGTTTGTTAAACAGCCAAACAAAAAATAAAAACAGCCAAACAAAAAATAACACATTTTAATTTTTAAAAAAATATGTAACTGAACACTTGAAAAAAATACACGTGTCCCTGAAAGTATCACTGACCCAATCTTATGGAGTATTTTATTTAATTTTACTGGCTTTCCAAAAGTTCAAACTCTGTAATGATAAATTTCTCTACCTTCCTCACAATCAATAATTAAGACTGGTCCATTACTTTGGACTCACATCTACTTTGTCTTATACCCCCCCTTTTATTTCGCTGCATGCCTCTCCTACCCACCCCCACCACCAAAAACACAAAATCAAGATGTATTATTTTAACTGCAAATCCACTAGATTCCAAAATATTTCAATTCATGAGACACCTATAGCACATTATCTATATTTGTACACTTTATTTAAAAACAAATAATACACTTAGAGCCACCAAAAAAGGTATCTTAATTAGCTTATCCATACCCTGAATTTACAAAAGAAACTTCTTGCACCACAAAAATTAGCATTTGGATTAATTTACATTAATTGATATAACTGAATTTAAAAATACCTGAAGATCAAACAATCTGGTCCAGGGCTCACCAGTTGAGGGGTGGGGAATTGGGAGTGTGGAGAAAAGGAGTTACTTAGGAAACTGAACTGATGATGCCCTGAAGTCAGCTCTAGTAAACTGAAGTTGAGAAGACATAAAGTAACCGGTAGATTTCAGGACTACAAAGAAGTGGTTCCTCCTAAAAACAGATATTAGATCATATCGTTGGAATGGGTGTGGGAGATATCTCTTAATTTGGATTGAAAAAAAGTGTGTGGAGAGGGGGGTTGTATTTGTTTCTCACAAGAGGCAAACTTCAGCCAAACAATGAGAAGAAAGTAGGGCGGGAGGTATGTGATAGACTGAAGGCTTTCTGACTGCTGATAATACCGAATTTAGCAGATCTGTACAAGTCAACTAAAATACCATTCTCTGAGACATTATCAGAAAGGAGCTAACAACCAGGGAAAAATCATTCTACTTTAACAAGGCACTCACTGGTTCACAGCCTGTTAAAAATCCAGGCAGACATTTAAGTTAATCTAAATTAAAATGAACTTTTTAATTTGCATCAGAGGGATGACAAGCATGTGGTCCCAGTTAAATCAAATCTAAAGCTTGACTAGCAAAGATCCAGAAAATTCTGACCCCTAAGTACCACTTTAGGAATACTGCTAGAATAGACAAGTGGAATCTAGGGATCTGTTTCGCCTAAATTTTTTTTTTTTTTTTTTTTTAGGATTAAGAACAAAAACAAAAATGGAACAAAAGCAAAAACAAAACTGATGCAATCCGGTAAATACTTTGTCAATCTGGTGTCCCTGACACTGACATGGAGGTCCAGCTGGATGATGGATATGGCCAATTAAAAAACTTTCAGTGCTGAAAGTAAAAATGATTAAAATAATTTACCAATGGCCTGTCCTTTGTTTTTAAAGATGGACATGTTTTCTGGACCTTCCCTTAAAAGAAACTTCTGGAATTGATACATTTCACAAAAATATACATATAATTCTTTTCAGCTACTACTTTTGTACAACTTGAATCCCAGTGTCAAACACATAAAGTACTACAATTATATAAATAACTACACAAACAACATAGTAACAAAGGCAACTTCTGAGTAAATAAAATTAATGATTATGTACTTAATAGCCTAGAAATAGCTTTCAAAGAATAAAGTAAGCTGAAAAAAACTGTACTTAGAGCTCTTTTTCCATGTAAATTCAGTAACAGTTTGGCTCTTGGTTGAAAATATCACAGACATATACTAACCAGAGATTAACTATATCCACTCACTATCAACCTTGATGATAAATTTTAAGCAGTTCTTTCAAAAGAAAACCAACTCTTAAGTCTTTCAATCTGATTTGTGACACCTTAATTCAATAAAACTTAAATGACAAAGCCTGAGAAAAGCACCAACATAGATTTTTAAATTGCATCCAATCATCATTTTCAGATGTCATAAAGAGTTGCTTTAGTTAAAATGGCAGCAATGACAAAGAGGTAGATATGAAAGATGTCATTTAAACACTATTCTTAGGTGGTATTTTAATTAGTTCAGGTGTTTAATCTAAAAATAATTTTTACTAGTTGAATCTTCATCACATAAGAATTTCATGACATGCTCTTGTGTAGGAGGGAAATACATGAAGTCCTAAAAAAGAGGGCCTTTAAAAATCACATTTTTAAAAAATTAATTTACTTAGCCAACATTTAAGAGAGCCCATCAGTTTGGTGAACCAATAATTTCTCTTTTATCTGAACTTGATTATAGTGAAAGAATAGTTATTTTTCCTCTCTACTGAAATTTCTAGGAATTCACATTCAAAATCCTTGGAAATACATGTGGTGCTCAGAAGAGCACAAAGACAACGCATGAAATGTCCCCTGAAATCCTAGAAGTTGAGCAGATACATTGAAGACATTGAAGGTCACAAATCAGGACCGTCACAGATTGGCAAGCAAACACAGACACACACACACGCACACGTGCACACACACGCGCGCGCGCACACACACACACTCTCTCTCTCTCTCTCTCTCTCTCTCATACCCCCCCCCACCCCCCCAACTCAATCCTCATCCTCACTGTAAGGCTGCATTTGTATTTTATTTTAAAGGCACCTCTCATTCTCTAGCTATTGCCTTCTTGATGGTATCTGTTTTCTTAAAAGTCCTGAATGTTCAATGGAAATAGTTCAGTACTGAGAATGGAATATTTTTCAATTCACATTTGAATAGCCAGGTTTTCTTACATTCAGATTTTAATAAACTAGAATGACAGTCTTTAAAACAAGCATGCTAGCCTATAATGAATATAATATATACAGTAATTTAAACATTTAGAACTATATATTATACTGCAAAAGCAAACAGCACAACACTCATCATACTCATCATTACCTGCGGTGTATACTACCTCTAAAAACAAAAATACAAAACAGTAAAATGCACCTATGGTTTATATATATATATATATATATATATATATATACACATATATATATATATACACACACACATACATATATATGTATATATATAGTCTATATATATTATATATATTCTTACAATATATATAATATATATTTATAAAATATACATACATTTTAGACATTTTCAAATAAATCTTTATCATTATGTCCAAAAGAAATTTATAGCAAGAATACTGAAGGAATGAAAGTCAGATAAACAAAAAATTTTTCACAAAGTTCATTATCAGTGATACAGCATAATTTCCCCCCTTTTAGTCATAACTAAAATGATTATAAAAGCTAAATACTTTGCATAACTAATTATCTGTTTAATGGCAAAAATTGCTAAACTTGTTCAATAGAAAAATACTGAAGGTCATTATATCACTTATGTTAAATATCTGTCTAGGGTTCGAGTAGCAAATGAGCTCCATATGACAGCTGGGTTTTGAGAAGGGTGCTGCAAGCTCCCAGAGATGTATCCACAGCATATGAAAATAAGGCAGGGGACCCACATCTCCCGCTGATTTTCATACTATCCCAACATAGTTCATCCAAAATATTTACAAACCAAGCACTATGAAAGCATTTCAATGACTGTTTGAATCTTGAATTTGTTCATTTTGTGGATGTTCATTAAATTTTCTATAGGCTGGGGGGGAATATCAGACACATGTCTATGCTTCTATCTGGTTGGAAGACAGCTTTGGCTCATTTCTAGGCTGAGATCACACAGTGCTAGTGGAGAAGAATCTCTGTTTCTGTGTACAGTTTCCAATGGCATGCACTGGCTTGCTAAAGAACTTTCAACAGTTCCAACATCTGCACTACCTATCTCATGGTCATTTTCCACTCACTAACAGAAAAATTTCAACCATGAGGTATAAAATGCAGGGGAAGAGAATGTCTTGGTTTTGAGAATTTCAGTGGCATAAGTAAAGCAGGCACTGAAGACCTTAGGAGGTAATTAAAGCAGTAACTGGTAGAACAATAGCTTAATCCGTCATATATATGCCAAGTAAGGACACCTGACTGGAATTTTCCAGTATCCCTCTATAAATGTTAGGTCAGCAACACCATTTTTTCACTCATTGAAGAACCAAAAGAGGAATGCACCAAACAAAATGTGGAATTCTGCATCTGCATGGGAATAATATAAACGTTCACCTGGTAGCTCAAGTCCAGGTCATTCACTTGATTATACAAAGGAGTCCCTTGAGCTCACTGTTAACCAAAGCACAGATGAAATGAAAAGGTAGCTGAGTCAAAATATTAAAGCATATCTGTATATCGATCAGGCAAACCTAACACACATCTTTAAAGAAAATTTGCCTGTATACTGCAAAACTCTAGAGGCAGAAAACAGAAATTTTAAAGAAAAATTGTCAATTACTATCCATAACACCACCAGAATATGTTTTCAAGGAGTAGATATACCTATCATCAGAGGTGTCATTGTTATGACAATGGACTACGTGGGGAGAGGAAGGTAGTAATTTTATTAAAAGGTTAAAATATTTATGGATATGGATTTTTAAAATCTGAGAACTATTATACATACATTTTGCTGAAATGCTGGGCATTAGTAATTTATTTCTAATTTCTACATTGGTCTCTGACATTTGGGGCAAACAAGAGAGTGTGAAGACAGGTGAGACAGTTGTGGGGATGAGGTCTATACATTAGGTCCAAAGAGTGGGGTCGTGGGAATCCCAAGAGCTGGCCACATGTGGGTCACAGGCTAGGTGAGCTCAGGGAAGCCTGGTCCTTTACGACAGTTTTCCCCAGAAACGATACTGATACACTATCTATTAAAACATGCTGTGTATTCCAATTAAAGAATGGAGGAGGGGTAGGGGCAGGGAAAGAGAAAGAGAACTCTTTAGCCAAGGTTATGCACTGTACTCTTCCATCCAGATTTCCAGGGGGCTCCCATTCTCAGATATATTAATGGAGGACTTCTGGGGTACAAAATAGTTGGATTTACTGCAAAAGCAGGTACCTAACATTAACCACTTTGGGCTGTTAAAACATAATAATTATAAACTGTTTTGGCAGATATCAGACAATTTGAATATGAGAGACAAAGAAAGAGCAAGAGGTCATCTGAAGCATGGTATGTGGGTTTTGACAAATGAGTACTCACAGATAACTTCCGTCTTTTCAAACCACTGAAAGGTAAGATTTCATTGATAAGAGATAACCACTCTGATACTATAAATATCACATGAATAAAGTGAATTTTTAAAATTAACAGAAATTATTATAAAGATATGCCCTGCTTGCCCTTAAAAATAAACAGAATCTCAAACCTGAATAAGTTAAATCCTTTAGTAAAAGCAGACTCTATCAACTATTCATAATGGTGACTGGTTTTTGACAGCTAAACTTTACAATGGTACCAAATCTATTTTCCAAAAATGTAATACAATATAGAAATCTGCTTACAAACTAAATATTTGTTTCATATTTCTGAATAATAATATATTTAACATATTATTGCATTTCCTTTTTTTTCCCCCTTAATAGGGGGAATGCTTTGCCAGGTGCTTTATGTGCACAGATGAAAGGAGAGCTAAATTAAAAACTCATTTGAACACTGCCTGGTCATTATGCACATAGGGGTTAGTACAGCAGATATGGTCAAGATCACTGTTTTGAATACCTAATGTGTTTAACAAGATTTCTCAGGGGAGAACTAGGTCTAAATTTTTGTTCTTCCTCTACTCATTCCCAGTCATCAAGCTTTTTAATTATCCCTTATAGCATGCCCTATTTACTCAACAGGGACAAGCCAAACTTATGTTCGCTCAGGCCTGCCTAGCGAATTAGAACCACCTCAGAAATAAAAGCTCCTATTTGGGGGAAAATTTGAAACAGTTTTCAGGCTCACAGATTCAGCTGAGCTTGCAGCAACCTGAACAAACCTTAGTTTTTAGAAAACAGTATACGAATTGCAAAACTATACTTTAACAAATGTTCTCTGTGCTCCTTCAGCAGAACAAAGGGCAGGATAGGCTGATTCTTGCCCTGGTCTTCTGTATCTCTTTTGTGCAGTTGATTATTTATAAAGAGCTAGAAGGTGAAGATGATGCTTGTGTCATACAAAGACTTTAGCCAGTGCATCAGCCCCAGCACTGGCTATATAGCATTTGGATGGGTGGAAAGCTACATCATGAATGGATTCTTCAAACTTTTTCCGATGAGCTGTAAACTCTTGGATACATGTTTTACTTTCTAGGTTCCATAAACGTATTGAACAGTCATGACCTGCATCAAAAGAAAAGGAAAAAAAAAAGAAAAGAAATTGAAAGGAAACATTACATTAACATGAAACTAATAAGGATAAATAAATAATCCACAGTTGATGTACTTACTGCCAGACATCAAGTACAAGCCATTAGGATCAACTGCTAGACTTGTAACAGCTTCTAGGTGGGCTACCATGGAATGGATGAGTTTGCCTTTGGAAAAAAGAGATTGTTACTTTTTATTAATAGCTTTCTTCATCCCTGATTATATGCCAGCTACCTTGTTACACTGATTTCTCCAGTCACCCCTCTCTGTGTACCTACTGCATCAATAGCTTTTCCCATAACAGCTAAAACAATGTGTCTCCCTCCCCATTCCAGTCACGGTAATAATAAAAACAAAAGCTCAAATTTCAGATTATATTTCTGCCTTTCAAATAACAACATAAAAGTCAGTCATTTCTACACAAATATTCCTTTAAGTCATGTTCATTAACTAAGACGCAGACATTATTAATCAGCTACTTTGTATCCTTTAGCTATAGGCAAATTATATGGGTTGTGAGAACAGAAGAGACTGAGACAAAGACAAAGGAACGGAGAGAAAACCTGGCCACAATTTTGGTGGAAACATATAGAAAGGGATTAAAATATTAAATTACTCATCACTCACAGCTAAGCAAAGTCAGCAAAAGTCAAGAGCAGATACTCAGGTAAATATGGCTGCTAATATGGAGTGTTTTTCTCCCAACACAGCTCCTCAGGATTTTCCTTTAGTGAAATGCAATTCAGTAAAAAAATGGGAAAGCCCACATAGCCTAATTCAAATCAATCAGGACCAGTCAATATTATAATACAGAAAGGAGTACTCCATGAAAAATTGACTCAAGTAAACCAAATGACTCAGGGTTTCCATCTCTAACACTAAGGCTATTCAAACACTGAACAACTTTAAACAAAATATAATGATCATATGTCTCTACTTCCAACATGTTTCTACTTTTCCCCAGTATATTCACAGCAAGAGATCAGTTTTATTGCTTCGTGAATGACCTTTTCATTGTGTCCGTAGTCATAACCTTGGCTAGTATCTACTAGTATTAAATACTAGTATTAAATACTAATATGTACTTAGTATTAAATAAACCAAGATGATTCTATATGCTACCATGAAGACTAGTTCTTAGCAGATCTATACAGAATGAATAGAAACTGAGTTGGGAGAGTATCTGTTTTCATGCCTACTCCTGGACTATACAGCCACCAAGAAACACCCAAATCAGGATACTTATGGCAGCGTTTGTTTGTGGGGTTTTTTTTTTTTTTTTTTTTTTTTGGGGGTTTTTTTTTTTTTTTTTGGTTTGGGGGGATTTTTTTGCTTTATCACTGATCACTTTGTAATAAACACTTACCTGTATTGTTATCATAGAATTTGATGTGCCTGTCCTCATGAGCAGTGATGCTGATGGGAAGAGTGGGATGGCTGATGACCCTATTTATTTGGCAGGAAGAGTTGGCTGCAAAAAAGAAAAAAAAAGAGCAACAAGTTAGTCAAAGCTACTATTTCTTCATACAAGAGAAGTGAATACTCACCTAAGAGACTAAAAAAGTAAATGATGTGACTTTAATTTGTCTTTAGTTCATTTATTCTGTGACTATTCATAATTTCAACGTTAGGAAAGAAGAACCGCTGAGCAATACCATACTGACAAATCTAGAGGTACGTACAAATGAGAATTTTCTTTTCCACCTAAAATCAATGGGTGCTTCCCAGGGCTTAGCCTAGGGTCACTAACATTTCTCATTTTCTGATGACTTGTGATACTTCTGCTGCTTTAATAAAGTTCCATCATTATTTACATGTAGATGATACCTAAATTTATTTTTTTTATTCTGTTAATCATCATACATTACATCATTAGTTTCTGATGTAGTGTTCCATGATTCGTTGTTTGCGTATAACACCCAGTGCTCCATGCAGTACGTGCCCTCTTTAATACCCACCACCAGGCTAGCCCATCCCCCCAACCCCTCCCCTCTAGAACCCTCAGTTTGTTTCTCAGAGTCCACAGTCTCTCATGGTTCGTCTCCCCCTCCGATTTCCTCCCTTCATTCTTCCCTTCCTGCTATCTTTTTTTTTTTTTTAACATATAATGTATTATTTGTTTCAGAGGTACAGGTCTGTGATTCAACAGTCTTACTCAATTCATAGTGATACCTAAATTTAAAATCTTCACTCTTTCTAGACACAGAAGCTCTTTGTCACATGGTTATCACCTGAAGACAAATATGACAAAGGGAGCTTCTGAGCTCTTTAATCTCTTTCTCATCATGATAGAAATGGTCATCGGGGCACCTGGGTGGCTCAGTTGGTTAAGTATCTGACTCTTGATTTTGGCTCAGGTCATGATCTCAGGGTCGTGAGATCAAGCCCAGTGTCAGGCTCAGTGCTCAGCAAGGAGTCTCCTTGAGATTCTCTCTCTCCTCCTCCCTCTGCCCCTCCCAACTTGCACACGCACATGCGTGCGCATGTTCTCTCTCTCTAAAATAAATAAATAAAATCTTAAAAATAGAAACGATCATTTGACAGTCTATCATGTTTGGAATCTTAAAACAGTCAGCATCCTATTATGTGCACTATATAGTAACTTTCAAAGAATTTCAATTATATGCACAATGAGACAGGCAGGCCACATGTCATTAGGTCCATACCACAGTGCATGAACCAAGGTCTAGAAAAAACTGTGACTCCCTCAAAATCATGTGACAAAGCCAGTACCAACTCTATCCTAATGAGATGGCTCATGCAAATCACAAAGCTGCCAAAAATGGTACCTAAACTATCACAAGTCATTCTAAAAGTCTTTTATAAAAAGGAAGTCAATCATTAAAAGCCTTTTAATTAGTGAATTTTGTTAAGACATCTTATTTTTCTTTTAAAGGAAAAAAATCTATATATATAAAGGTAATACTAACTTAAGATATGTCAAAATTAAAAAAAAAATCATGTTATGGTCCAGGGAGAGGAAAGGATGCTCTTCTTATAAAGTCCATTATTGGGACATCTGGCAAATTTGAATATAAACAATAACTTAGACAACAGCACAGTGTCACTGTTAAATTTCCTGATTTTGATAATATGCTATGTCAGAGAATGTCCTTGTTCTTAGGAATTACATGTTAAAGGATCTTGGGGTACAAGGCTATGATGTCTAAGTGGTTCAGAATTTAAAATTAGACACATATATAGTGGTGAAGCAAATGTCACACATGTGGCAAATGCTAAAAAATGGTGAATCTGGGTGAAGGGTAGCTAGTTTTTGTACTATTTTTGAAACTTTCTGCACATTTAAAATTATTTCAAAAAAGAATTAAAAATTTTTCTAATCTCAGAATAGTTATTATGAATTTAAATTCAAATAGAAAATGTAAATATAGGCAAAAATAGCTGTAACATTAGTGTACTCTATTAGATTTTCTTGAGGTTCCTAAAAATATGATATCTTAAAAACTGAAGATAGTCTTTTTCCAGTGTTAATGGCAAGGGACCACCCAGCCTGTTATCTAAGAATAAAACAAAAAGTCACTTGACCACGTGGAGTAAGCTCTGGGTCAGTTATACTTGATTTAAATGGTCCTAAGCAAAGAGTTTAGTTTCAAACTCAGCATACAGATTTTTTTTCCCCTCCAGAGATAAAACACCATGAACAATATCCTCTGTAGGATCTAGCAGGAAAGTAACAACAGAAAAGAAATACTTTAAGTAAAATATCTCATGTATTCTGAGAGAGAGGTTTCTGAGAATAGCTTCAATTGTATCGAGATCCAGGAAATAATTATGATTGAAATCAAATGATGGAAGCAGGCAAAAGAGTTTTTATACAGTAATACTTTCAAGGAAGTTCTCCACTTAATGGTAAATCAGACAAGTAAGCAAAATGCAAAGAACACTAGAAATCAACTGCAGGCCTACCAACCATCATTCTAACAATGAATCTAAATCTTCCAAGTATTCATATTCAGCTTGCAACTTAGAAATGATTTACTTTTCACTGGATCAACAAGTACTCAATTACCTGCTTCAACTACCTTTGACTTTTTCAGTCAAATCACCATTGACATTAAAGTTTATTCTGATTTTTAAAACAAAAATCCTTTATCCTCTTAAATTCTTTTTTTTTTTTAAGATTTTACTTATTTGTGGGCGAAAGGGAGAGGGGGAGCACAAGCAGGGAGAGCGGCAGGCAGAGGAAGAAGCAGGCTTCCCTCTGAGCAAGGAGCTCAACGTGGGACTTGATCCCAGGACCCCGGGATCATGACCTGAGCCAAAAGCAGACGCTTAACTGGTTGACTGAGCCACCAAGGCACCCCCAATTTACTTTCATCTTGAAACATGTTTTGGTCAGAACTTTAATTTAAAAAAACATCTGCTAAATTCCAGAAAAGAAAAACGTAGTCAACTATAAACAGATAGGGGTAGTCATGGTAGAACGGAATAAAAAAACTATATTACACAGCTCGAAAGTAATAAAACTGATAATTTAGGAAATGTCAGTACATATTATTATAACTCAAAATAATTATCACTATTCCAATAATGCTGCCTTTGTTCAAAACATTTTTGGCAGTTTTCTTCAGAAAATGCTTCCAGTATCAGGCAAAAAGTTGACACACTTAAGGAAAAAAATGGGACTGCCAGACTTGACATCTTATTAATTTAGAGCAGTCATTAAAAATCAATATTTACCACTCAGGACATTCATCAAAGAATTGACCATAAAATCTGAAGGTAATTCCAAAAATGTTCACATCTTTCTTAGTTTTATATTGTTTTCTATATTTTACTACTGTAAGCTTTAGGTCATATATTTAAAAATGAGTTTAAATTTACTGACAGCCTATGTTTCTTGGCACAAAAAAATTCTCTTTTTTTCTATTCCATAGTCTCAGTTTTTATTTTTTTGCCTCTCTCTTTTATATCCAAATAGTTCAAAACTCTCTTCATGTCTACTTCCCAAACAATTCTCACAGGACCTCAGAAAAGAACAAAGGACAACAGACTGGAAAGAGAAAATGAAGAAAGCCAAAATGGAATCAGGGAATTTTTTAAGAGAAAATGAGTAGAGGCTTCCCTCTACGAAGGAGAGAGAGAGAGAAAGACACACAGAAAGACAGAAAGACACACAGACACACAGATACACACATGGACGCCAGGGTAGGTCTTTTTAAAGCTAGTTCTCAGACTAAAACAATAGTATATGTATATACAGTTTTCTTTATCAACTGCATCCTAAACTATCACTGTCTGGATGAAGCCTAAAGATAGAAAGCAATGGTTAAAAAGCCAAAACCACTAAAATTCTGTAGTATCTTCTTCACAATGTGAGAAATTATTTCCTGACTTTCTGTATCCAGTAAGATTTAAGATTTAAGATTTTTCATATTTCAGATTCTGAAAGGCACAACTTGATCTACATTCTAATCAGGCTGTGTCAAATTACACTATTAATACAAAATTAAGTTCTAATAGGCTGTGTCAAATTACATTATTAATACAAAATTAAGTTGTTTTAAAAATGAAATGAGAAATGAAAAAGATTTATTTTATATTCAGAATAAATATTATTGTGTTCAAATATGAAAACTAATCAGTTGGTATAAAATAAAATTTGACTCCTCTTTTGAAGTCAAATGATATTCCAAATAGTATAGTTCTAAATGTGTATAAACTTAACCCAAAGTCTTAAAAATCAATTGTAAGTCATTATATCCTTCTAAGTTACTGTGTTCTGTGATTTAAAAGGCAGAACTCTTTATAATAACAAGTATTCTTTGTAGCTGACTCTGGTAGTTATAATTTTTTTTTTTTAAAGATTTTATTTATTTATTTGAGTGAGAGTGAATGAGAGATAGAGAGCACGAGAGGGAAGAGGGTCAGAGGGAGAAGCAGACTCCCTGCCGAGCAAGGAGCCCGATGTGGGACTCAATCCCGGGACTCCAGGATCATGACCTGAGCCGAAGGCAGTCGCTTAACCAACTGAGCCACCCAGACACCCCTGGTAGTTATAATTTTGATGAAGCTTAAAAATTTGATCCAAACAAAGACCATTTAAAGTTGGTGTACATACTTGAATCTAGGTTGGATTCTAAAGTGAGAATGCGCTGTTGTGTTTCCATGTTAAAGATGCTTGTATATCCTTTGCTGAATGATGCTACCATATGGCTTGGGTCACTGCTCACTAGATCCACAGAGGCAGGGATTCCCAATTCTAAGAGAGTCAGAACAGAGAGAATGGTGATTAGAGGGTCTACTTGAAAATGTCCTCATAAAATAGCAAAACAAATAGTCATAAGATTTCCTTAAGAATTAAAGACTCAACATTAGAACAAAAATTAACTCATAGCCATTCAATGGACATTATTTGTTACTTTTAGCCCTTATTTTGTTATTCTTACCTGTTCAGCAAGTCTTCTGTTACTCAGCTAAAATATTCATAGAATGTAAGCCTTTACTCAGAAAATAAATGGAAAGCATGTATGGACTATAAGTTTTGTTGCTTCCACCTAACCGGAGGCTTAAACTGGCATGGTGAGAATTCTTTATTTTAAAAGCCCATCTCTTATTAGGAATTTTAATTCATCAAAAATATGGAATTAAAAGTAAAATTTCAAATTATTATTATTGTATGTAGAGTCATACAAATATAGATGCAGGCAACTCATCAAAACCCAGACACAAGTTATGACAGCTCAAAAATAAAGAAGGTATTTTTATCTATCATCTAGAATAGGGTAAAACTTGGTTAAACTTGGAGTGTATTTATAAACAGAATAGAATGATATGTATGAATATAATCTTTTGATATGGCTCAAAATCTAAAGTAAGCAAACAGTTCAAAAATGTGTATCTTACAGAAGAAGAGAGATTAATGGCTAATGAGCACAGACAAAAGTGCTCAAAATAATTAGCCACCAAACTAATGCAAATTAAAACCACAATGAAACACTGCTACAAACCCACCAGCATGGCTAAAACTAAACAGACTGACAACACCAGGTGTTAATAATTAAGGATGTAAAGCAACTGGAATTCTCATACATTGCTGTCAGTGGTGTAAAATGGCACAACCACTTTGGAAAAGCTTGGCAATTTCACATAAAGCTAAATACACAATACCACTTCTAACACCCAGCAACTCTACTTCTAGCTCTTTATTAGCTCATAAAAAATACATGAATGTTCACAGCAGCTTTGATCATAACAGTCAAAAACTGAAAACAATCCACATGTCCATCAAGAGGTAAATAAACACATACACTGATTTAATGAAATACTGGGAAGGACACAAAGAAACTTTGAAGAGGTGAAAGAAATGTTCTAGATCTGGATAGGCGCAAAAGTTACATATTTGTCAAACTCAACAGAACATATCCTTAATATCTGGTTTTTACTGTATATAAATTATATCTCGATTTTGAAAAAACATTTTAACGTGTGCTCTTTCACCAAATACAGTGTTTTTAAAATCATTAAGCTGGAATTCAAGCAAATATACTTCTACTGCTTAAAAACACTCCTTCAAATTAAATTTAAACTAACAGTTTGTAGAATTGTTTACTTATTTATTTGCTTGTTGTTACAATAAGACATCTTATAAAAGATTCATTAGAGCAACTTTTAAAAAGTCTGTACCTTGATTATCGTTAAATACACTTAGGGCTGGAGCAACCTCAGTTGTATTCCATAAACGCAGAGTGCCATCTGCTGAGCACGACAACAAGCGCTGATGGGCTGCACTATAAGCCAAGCCCCAGACGGCATCGGTGTGGCCGAGAAGAGGGCCTCTTAAAACAGAAGGATCTATACAAAACAGCAAGAATGCAAAATCAAGAGAAAATAAACAAATCCTAATGGTACTTAGATCCTAGAGAAACTAAATATACAGACAAAAGTGCCTGAGAACCGTATAAAACATGCTTCCTAGTTTCTGTTATTTTTCTGAAATGCTGCAATAACTAAAAAGAGGCCTGGAAATAGGCAAGTGTAGAGTCTAGAGTTTATAAATTAAAATTTTTAAGTATATATTTCTCTCCTTAAGAAAATTAGGTATTTCCCTCTCCCTTCCTTTTCTTTCCATTTGTCTAGATTTTTTTAAAAAGCATGTTAACACACATCATTTGAATTTTATCCACCTTCAGAGAAGCCACAACTCTTCCCTGAGGAAGTGAACAGAGATCCCTTCCTCCCCTGGCTCCTTCGGGCTACTTCTCCCCCTGGACCCCATACTAGGGATGGTAGCTATTCCCAGGAGCAACGGGCCTCTGCTATTCCGAGTGGACAGGAACGGAGACCTAGAGGAACCCCCAAATCCTCCAAGAGCAATAACTGACATGTGAATGATGTGCATGAGAGGGAGGGAGGAAAGAGGAAGGGGGATCACTCAGCAGCAGCATTTCGTAATACAAGCCCAACTGGAAACTTTCATTATTCCTCCGCGCAGTGACTCTATGAAGCAGTACTTTCAAGATGGCTCACACATGTTAGGTTTAAAATGCCAATAATGTTATCTGTCCTCTACCTTCTCTCTGTCATACCATAAAATACTTATTGGAGACACAATGTGTCAGTGACTATTGTTAGGTGCTGGCGCCACCCAGATAATTAAGACACAATACAATCCTGGTCTCAAAAGACATTGTGGTAAGTATAATAATGGTGATAAAGACACCAGTTTCCATGGAGAGTAACTGGGTGAGTGAAAGCCTCCCAGAGAGATGACACCTGAAGTATACAGGTGGCGGCCAGTCAAAAACTAGAGGGAAGCCACTGCTGGCACAAGGACAGAAAGCATGACATGTCAGGGAATTTATGAGCTTATTCAGCCTTACTGAAGAGTGAAGTTTGAGGCAGGAAGGAGAGGAGAGGCGGAGGGTAGCTAGTCTAAGGTGGGATTTCTACAACATATTAAGGTACTTGGAAATTATTCTGAAAGCAAAATGAACCACTGAAGGGTTTTCCAGGAGCAGCTGGGTGAAGTACATATTTAGTAAGGTAACCCTCCCTGTAGTGTAGAAGACAGATTGGAAAGAATGAAGATGAAGGCAAAGGGATTGCTTCAGTAGACTGGGAGAGTGATGATGCAGACCCAAGAGAGGGCAGTGGTAAAAGGGGCAAAGCAGAAGGGCTAAATTCAAGAAAGAGTTAGGGGGTAATATAAAAAAGACGAGGTAATTAATAAGGTGTGGATAGTAAACAGAACAAGACAACAAGGATAACTCTTAGGTTTCTAGTGTGGGTAATTTTGGTGGTGCCACCACCTAATAAAGAATATATGGGAGAAGAACCACAGCACTTATGCGGATTTATGGACAATGAGATGGCCACTTTGAAAAGTTCTGTAGGCTTAAAGAAGAGATTTATGAGTCAACAGCTTGTAAAACCAAAGAAGTAGATTCAGTTTACAAAAAAATATGTGTACAAAGAATGGTTGGGTCTGGACCTTGATAAATGCCAATATCTAAGGTGGGAAAAATAAAAGTTTATGAAGGCTAGGAAACAGAAATTGTCACCAACTTAAGTGTCAAAAAAGCCAATAGCGGACAAATTTCAAAAAGGATGGAGTGGTCTACAGTTTCAGATAGCCAATACATCTAGTAAAACAAGGACTGTAAAATACCCCTTGGATCAGCCAATTGGGTAGTCACTGACAATCTCGTTATATTTAAGTGGGATAGCCAGAAGCCAGAATGCAGATGGATGAGGCACAGGAAAAGAACATGGAATCAGTAACTCCTGACTGTTTTCTAGTCATTACCACCAAAGAGACACAGATGGTGAAGGCAAGAGAGACTAAACAGACACCAGAAAGGAAAATGGAGTCAAGAAAAGGCCTTCCCTTGCTCAGGATAGGAGTCACCTATATTTACTTATATGCTGAGGGGATGGAAAGAGAGAAAAGGGCAAGGTTTAAGATAAGAATAAGACAGAGCAAGAGTGAGGGAGAATCAAATGCAATCTCAAAAGAAACGAGAGGATGAGGTCAAGAGCAAAAGGGGAAGGACTGGTTGGCTTGAGACAGAATGAAGACAACTGATCCTCTTGACAGAGATAAAGGAAGTAAGGAAAACATGGAGAGGGTTTACCTTTCACAAAATATATGTTAAATGCTTATTAAATAAATGTTGGGGAAAATTTTTGTTCATTGAATTTCTTATCTTTACTTAGGTTTGTAGGAAAATTAATCTAAAGTGAAAATGAAAATAAATGTGGTTTTAGGACAAATATGACACTCCACACCATTCTAGAATTTAAGAAAGAACGTAAGAGGAAACCAAAATAGTCAATTCCTTAATAGTTTTTGCAAGACAATTTATGGTAACATCTAGTGATAGATTATAATGTGGATTTACGTTTCATTGTACTATTCCCTAAATAGTACTAAATAGGGCACTTCTTAATTTTTAAGGCCTTTCAAGTATTCTGGTGTCACAGTTTAAAAATCATTAACCTCTACACACTCCAATAATAAATGAACATTCATTTTCCTTCAGTTGTTTGTCAAGAATAGTAATGAACATGTAAGTAATAGTAATGAAACAGGATTACAGATTAGTAATAATGTATCAAGTAATGTACAGATGCCTAAAATGAAGAAAAAAATTGTTAATCAGGCCAGCATTTCCAATCAATAGAACTTTGAGGGGGGGTAGGAACTGTTTTTTCAGGAATAACACATTCTTTTCTTTTTTCTAGCATATGTATCAAATTATTTCCTAAATACAAGAGTCCTTTTTAACAAAATAAAGACCTTGTTCTCTATTACCAATTTACTTTTTTAAAATATCTCATTTTATCCTTATATATGCTATGTAAAATGTGTAAAAAGAAAACAATTTATTCTTTCATATCTTCAGGGAAACACCTACCATAGGAGTCATAGGGATCGATGTTGGGGTTGGTGGTATTCCAGCCCTGGATCAGTCCGTCACTACCACCACTGTAACATTGCTCACCATTGCTGCTCATTACCACACAAAGCACTGGACCTCTGAGAGATAAAAATCAATTTCTATTCCCAAAAATCAATCTGATAATAGGACTTGTTAGAAATAAGAATGCTTAATTATTCATATGGCTTTCTATTTTTCTGCTTTCTACGATGAATAAAAATAGTATAAAAGCACTGCTCATTTTTCTTCTTCTGCTAAACCAGAGATTGGTAAACTATGGCCTGTGGGCCAAATCCAGCCAGTGGTCTGTTTTTATACAGTCCTCAAGCTAAGAATGGTTTTTACATTCTTTAAAGGGGTTATAAAACTAAGCTAAAAACAAGAATATACAACAGAAAATACACGGCCTACAAAGCTGAAAAAGTATTTACTATCTGACCCTTTATATAAAAAATATGCCAATCTCTGTGCTAAATCAAGTGAATTAGTATATTTCTTAAGCTTACCTGGAAATATGAAAAGCATGCAGTATGTGGTAATAATATAAAAATTCTTCATATTTTTATCTAGATTATCTTTAAGGGAAAAAGTCCCAATTTTTAATAACTAAACCTTACTGCATCAACTTATTTTAAGCATGAGATATATAACACTTAAACATCAACCAAATAAAATCTAATTTCAGCAAGGATCTCTGGTGGTGATAAACCTATTTTTAACACTGTATTATCTTTTTTACATTTACCAAAAAAAAAAAAAAAAGAAAGAAAACCCAAAACCCCTCCCCAAAACCACTACTAAATACAAAAAATATATAACACAAATACTTAAGTGAAAGAAAATAAAGTACTCTAATCAGGCTGATGTACAGTGATGCTGACTTATAAAAGAGAAAAAGCACATACTTACTTATGAGCCCTGAATGTATAGATAGGCTCCACATCAAGAGAAGTACTCCTAAATCAGAGAGAGGGAGAGGACTTTTACCACTCCAAGTTTCAGTAGTAAACAGTATCAATGAATATATGCCACGAAATTGCCTTTAGAAATACCAACACTGTGGTAATACACTGTTCTCAGCCTAGGACAGTTAAGAAAGCTTACCTGACCCCAATCACATATTTTTATGGCCTCAAGAAACAAAATCCTTGTTTAGTAACCATACCTGCTTATAGTGCTCTTAGCATTGTCATATCTATTTGACTATTTGAGAGAGCCAAACTCAGAGAACATCATGGGATTTGAGGAGATACATTTCTGGATTCAATTAACTGACTAACTCCAGGCAAATTATTTATTCTTTTGGAACTTCAGATTCCTCTCTATTTAAAACAAAACAGAAAAATTGGGATAACACCAAATACTCACAGGATTAAATGAAATTCTACAAGTCAAACAGTCTAGGACAGAACCACGGACACAGCAGGATTTCAATAAATGGTACTTGAATTTCTTTGCATTTCCATCAAGGCTAATATGTCTGTCCTCAGGATACTTGTAAAAATTGTCCAAGTCATCAGTTTACTCATTATTCAGAACACTGAATGTATAGATAGTCTATACTGCCTAATATTTAAACTGGATTTAAAGTCAATTACTTACCATTTCTTATATTGTATTAGTTTTTTTTATAGGCATATGATTTCTCTCCTCAAGCATTTCCAAAATGTTAAGCTCAAAGGTAAACAGGCCATGTTATTACATGTGAAGGTATTATTACTAAGCTATCACCAGCAAGATACTTGTTTCAATATTTCTAAGTTTTAGTCAAGACTATATGAGACATTCACATTCCCTGATCTAATGAGATGCCCATTGTGACCAGAGAACTAGAAAGACAAAAGGCACAATTTATAACTAAGAAATAATTTTCCTCTGCTGAAGATACCTGATCCATATGAGGATTCTCTTGGTTTGAGCAAGCCCTGGTTGAGCTATCTGATGCAGACTGATAAATCAAGTATTTTATCTAGTCCATGTATGACTCACTGCGGGAATGTCACTGATCTCTTTTAAACTTGGCAATAGATATCCTCTATCAGTAGCTAAACTTTTGTAATCTCTTCCAGTTCATGTTCATTTCTACTCTTCCAATAACTGAAGTGCCTGACACTGGAGAAGGGCCCATGCTGGGTTCTGGGCCACCTGATTCAAGGACACCGGAGAGGGACCTCCAGTAAGCACCCCACCAAGTGGGGCTCAGACTAGCTTGGTGATTGGTAAGAGTCTGTACCAACTCAGGTCAGTTCATGCTTAGAGAGGAACCACAGGGCCAAGGCAAGAACTAGCAGTTAAGTGACAGCAACAATAGTACCTTCCATCTACACATTTTGGTGGGTATGGAAAGTACCTAAAGGGACAAGGCCAAATGACAAAACCAAAAAGAGGTCCCTCACCCCTCTCAATCAGCCTTCCCTCCCTTCCACATGGTAAATCCAAACCAAATAAAAACAGGACAGGGATGGGGTGGGGTTTGATGATTTTAAACATGCCTGCACCTCTTTACAACAACAGTAGAAACCTTCAGTATAGATAAGGGACTCCGCAAATATGACAACCATTTAAAACACTGTATAAGGATTGTAAATAGCATTCAGAAACACTGGGAAACTATCAGGTAATACACTTCTCTCTCAGTGTCAGTTTTCCAACCTACTATCAGATTGTGAGTATGAAGGGAAAAATTCAAATTATGTGACATGATAAAGAAGAAAGAACTAAAAGGGATACTTGAGAAATTGAGAAATTTAATAGCAAATAATTTAAGTATTTTTCTGCTGAAAAACTGATAATTAAAATACTCAAATACAGTTAAGGTAGAATATTCTCACTTTTTGGCTGGGGCTGTTTTCTGCAAATTCCACATTTTCAATGTGTGATCCTCTGATGCTGTTATCAAAACAGGCTCAATGGGGTGGAAAGCAAGGGCTCGAATGCCATCAAAGTGACTTCGTAATGTAAACTTAGGGTTCCATGTCTTCCTCAGTGCATCTTTATTGTTTGCTATCTATTAAAGAAACAAGAAAGATACCCATACATTTAGTTCAGGACAGGAAAAAAATTGTATTTCCACATTAATTCTTCCTGATTTGTCATTAAATCATCACATTTTGCAATTTGCAAAACAATATAATTTCTAAATATAATTAATAATCAAATCAACAGGCAAAATTAATAATATGTCAACGAAAAGTGGTTTTCTTTGGAGAAATACGAATGCTATTACAAGAAAACAGGTAACATAATAGAAAGACTATTAACATAACATAGATCTTCACTAGGATGACTAAAAAAAAACAAAAGACAAGTAATTTTCAACCTAAATCATAGTATAGAAACTAATTTGGGGTAAGAGCTGAAAAACTAAGTTACCTTTAAACCTGTTAACATTATAGAATATGATCATACTTCTGAGATTTTTAATACTTCCTACAAAGAGCTAAACTTTCATCAAATTGGCAACAAGGTTTATAAACTGGAAACATAAAATGTTAACACTGGAAGAGATAATCAGATGTCATAAAACAATAGATTCCACTTGTAAAACACATCATGTTGCTTTTCGCCACAGAAACTCCAACCCAGCAACTAAAAAATGCACTTTTTTTCTCATTCCAACTATATTCCAGCTTTTTTTTTTTCATTTCCAACTAACAGGAAAGCCAAAGAGGTTCATGTTTAACCTTACACTAGCACCACATATGAACTCTTCACACTCCACAACTAATAATCATGCTACGTTTAAGCAAGAGTGGTGCAAGTACTGTTAACATACTGGAGAAATACTACCATATTTACAATGACAAAAACCAGCAACGATATTAACAATAGCTGCTATTATAAGCATTACTATTTTGTACATTTTTTAAAAACTTAACGTGCATTAACTCACTTAACTGTCACAACAACTCTATGAAGGAATTAACATTATCCCCACTTTTCAGACAGTTAGAAGTGACTTGCATAAAGAAAAAAGTTAAGTGACTTGCCCTCTAGTAAGAGGAGTCGTCAGGATTCAAACCCAAGCAGTCTGGCGTCAGAGGCTACTCTTAATATAAACTAATTTAGGACCCAGAAGTTTAAAAATTTGCAGAAAAATTTGGATAGAGCATGTCATAATTGGGTCAGTAAGAAGACAAAATACAGGATACAAGGAACTACTATAAGAATTAGGGCTGGTTATCCTTGTGGGGGAGGCAGGGGGAGAAGTGAAATTAACTTTGACTCTTCTCTGCTCTTATTAATGAGCTGAAAGATTTTCATATGTAAGAACAATTTAATTCCTTCTGAATGTCTTAATGTGGTAGACAGCCACTAAGATGGTTCCCAATCAGCCTCACCTCCTCATATTTACACTTTGTGAATCCCCTTCTACATCACAGGGTTGCTCTGTGTGGCCAGTAACACAGAGCAAAAACCTTGCATCCTGGGTGTTCTTGCTCACTCTCTTTTCAAGGGCACTCATACTGGGGGAAGCCAGCTGCCCTAATGAGGAACCCACAGAGAGGCCCATGTGGTGTGGAACTAGTCTCCAGCCAACAGCCAGGAAGGAACAAAGGCCTTCCAACAACCACATGCATGAGCTTGGAAGCAGATCTTCCCCAAGTCAAGTATTCATTCAAGACTGCAACTCTTGCCTACATCTTGACTACAACTACGTGAGAGACCAAAACCACACAGCTAAGTTGTCCCAGATTGCTAACCCCCAGAAACTATGATCTAACAAATGTGGTTTTAAGCTGTGTTGGTACAATTTGTCACACAGCAATAGATTACTAGTATGTGTATTAGAACTGGAGACTACTTGCAGGGTGCCTGGATGGCTCAGTCAGTCAAGCGTCTGATCCCAGACAGTCCTGGGATCGAGTCCTGCATCAAGCTACCTGCTCAGCGTGGAGCCTGCTTCTCCCTCTGCCCTTCACCCCATTTGTGTTCTCTCTCAAATAAATAAATAAAATCTTAAAAAAAAAAAAAAGAACTAGAGACTACTTTAAGAAATGCAGGTATAACACTAAGTTGTTTTTTTTTTAACAACTGAGAGATAGTAAAAAAAAGAGAGACAGAATGACATTTCTCTAGAGACATGACTGAGTTCCATAATTTATTGGACTAAATCTTTGTGAGGTTAGTATAGATAGAACAAAAGTATCTAATGGGAACTTCTGCTTCTAGCTATGATGGACTAGATTAGGATCAAGTCTGCACTTGAGGACAAGTAGAAAAACAGAGCTAAAAATTTTTAAGTGAAGAACCAGCAAAATAGTGAAGAAAAAGCAGACAAGAATCCAGGGGAAGACAGAAGTCTAAAAAGCCTGATATTTGGACTTTTTTTTCCCAGAGGGTGTTTACTGATTTCAGAAGGGATGGCTGAGAGGTCAGGCTATGCTTTTGACAGCTGTGCAGTGCAAGGAGATACAAACCAGTGACTGTCAAGAAAACCCGGCTTGGTGAACCTCCTTGCTCTGGGTTTTGAGTTCAAAGGGCTGCATTCTTTTTTTTTAAGATTTTATTTATTTATTTATTTATTTACTTACTTACTTACTTATTTATTTGCGAGAAGAGAGGACAAGCAGAGGGAGAAGCAGGCTCCCCGCTGAGCAGGGAACCTGATGCGGGTTTCAATCCCAGTTCCCTGGGATCATGACCTGAGCCGAAGGCAAACACCCATCTGACTGAGCTACCCAGGCACCCCTGGGGCTGCATTCTAGATAGAAGAGTTAACTAGAAGAATACAAGCCCTTACAGAGACTGTAGATCAGTTTAGATTACCTGAAAAATTGAAAATGGAATGAGATAATCCAGATTTCTAGTGGCTGCAGACATCTGAGAGAAGCAAATTAAAATATACTCCCTGAGGGAAGATATCTCTCTAGGCCTGAAGTTATTTCTACAGACAACTTTTCAGGTATAGTTATTTGCACATAATAAAAAATAACCATGCCTATGCAGGGTAATACAGCATAAATGAAAACAAGTAGATACATAATCATGCTTACTGTGTTCAAGAAGATAAAAGACAACATTGTAAATTTCAGAAGAAATCTATAAACAATTTAAAAAAAGAATTCTAGAAGCAAACAATATAAGACCTAAATAGATGGGTTTAATTACAGATTACACATAACTGAAGTGAGAATTAGCAAACCAGAAGATGGGTCATAAAAACATCTAGGCTGAAGTATGGAGAAACAGAAGATGGAAAATACAGGGAAGGGAGTAGGAGACAGAGGATACAGAAAGATCTAACAATATAATTAGCGTTCCAGAAGGAAAAGAAAGAGAAAGAAGTGCAAAAGCAGTATTTGAAGATAAATGGCTAAGAATTTTACACTAAACTGATAAAAACATATTAAGCCAAGAAGGTCTAAGAACTTCAAGAAGGTTAAATAAAAAGAATCTAAACGTTGGCTGACATTCAAGACATAGGGAGATTATTAGAGAAAATAAAAAATCAGACTACCACTGAATGACCAGTAATAGTTAACTTTGGCAGAAAACAATGGAAGAAAATGAAATTATATATTTAGAGTGCTTAAAAATGAAACAAAATAGAACAAAACCCTTGCCAAATGGAATTCGATACCAGAAATAATAGTTAACCCACTCAGGCAAAATACAGACAATTTAATAAAACCAGAAACTGAGGGAACTGGGCACCAGCAGACCTTCACCAAAGAGAAATATTAACTGTTCTTAGAGGAAAAGAAAAGTGATCCCAGATGGACAGTTAGATGTGCAGGGGGGAATAGAATAAAGCAAAATGAATAATGTAAAATGGATAATCCTTACTGAATACTGAGTGTACAAAACATTACCTTGTAGGAGATATATGTCTAGAGGAAATACATAACAAGAATGACATATATGTAGGGTAGGAGTTTTTTTGTTTTTAAGATTTTATTTATTTATTTGACAGAGAGAGAGAGAGCACACACAAGCAGGGATGCGGCAATCAGAGGGAGAGGAAGAAGCAGGCTCCCCACTGAGCAGGGAGCCTGATGCAGGGCTTGATCCCTGGACTCCGGGATCTTGACCTAACCTGAAGGCAGGCGCTTAACCAACAGAGCCACCCAGGCGCCCCAAGGGTAGGAGACTTTAAGTAGAGTTAAAAGTGTCCTAGAGGTCTTTGCATTAAAATTTTGATAAGGATGTGTGTGGTAATCTCTAGGGTAACAATAAAAAGAGTAATGAAAGAGTGCATCATCTCCAAATAATGGGGTGGGGGTGAATAATGAAAAATAATCCCAATACAGGCAAAAATAGAAAAAGGAACACAGAATAGGTAGCACAAATAGATGGTGGACTTAAATCCAAATATTATCAGTAATTACTTTAAAAAGAAATGGACTCAATGCTCCAATTAAAAAGGTTGTCAAAGATTAGATGAAAAAACAAAAGTCAACTAAATGGGTGCTTTTATACATACAGACGTAAAACATAAGGATGTAAAAATAGAATTTTTTTTTTAAAAGCCTGTATCACATATGTGGAGAATGGGGAGCAAAGAGACCATTTAAAATAGGTTATTGTAGTAGTTCCACGTGAAGAAGAAATGAAGTTGGATGGGAGGTAAAAGAAAAAAAAAAAGCTATGGATTTTAGCTATTTTTGGAGGGAGAACTCAAAAGACTAATAGCCTTAGCAAGAAAAGTGAGAATTTTTGATTTGCAAGAAGAGAAGTGAGTGGTAAGGTTGCTTTTTGGAGTACTCCCTTCTCATATCCATGGTCTGCCTTAAGCGTTCTTCCTACATCCCCCATGTGGCAGGAGCTATACTGTGTTCTCCAATAAAGATTAATGAGGTATCAAAGTTGAGAGGATTTTAATGAAGATAAGACAGATTGTAAACACTTTATAAAATAAGGAACTTTTTCTGACAATTTATTGTCATGAACAATTATAAATGTATTTATAAAACATATTAATATCCAACTGTGTTGGATATTAAATAAAGGAATGCATGAATAAGGTATCAAGATCTCAGTTTTGGTCCAAAAATCACTGATGGGTCTGCCTTAACAACTGAAAAGCACCCTACAGACATCCCTGCCTAACAATAGCTAAAATCATTTGTAGGCAGGATATTCACAGGTAATGTACTAAAGAAGAAACACAAATATTGCCATTTGGCAAGCATGAATTTCAACTGATCACTGGTACCCTAAAACACAAACCCAAACTTGGTAACAGGGAATTTTTTTCCCTTATCTAAAACCAATAAACAAGCTATAATGACTTATGGATTTAGGTAAAGCCCATAATTTTAATCTCTATCCAATGTGAAAAATATGATCATTTACATAATATATTCATATTTTCAAAGTTTCCAATTAAAATGAAACCAAATTCTATACTTGTGGAGAAGTTTGACCACTTTTTCTATAAAGTTAACTTTTTATTTTTAAGAAATGAGAGAAGAACAACAAAAATAAAACCACGACTCACATCGTAAGTTAGTGAATCTGCTTCATTGGCCACCGTAAGGCCTGCCAATTCTCCAAGTCCCAGTTCACTTTCAAGGGCTTCATCTGCTCCCATGATAAAGGACTTCCCAGAAGAAGGAGGAAAGGTCAGTGCTTCCACTGCCGGGGGAAGACAAAAGAAACATAAAAAACCTCTGAAGTGTAAACAATTATCTCATAAAGACATGTCTACATTTATTCTTAAATGCTTTTAAACACAAAATTCAGTTAGAAAGCTCTGAAGAACTAGCTGCTTTTTTTTTTATTCTATTTATTTATTTGAGAGACAAAACACACGTGCATGGGTCAGAGGGAGAAACATACTCCCTGCTGAGTGCGGAGCCCAACAAGGGGCTCCATCCCAGGAGCCTGAGACCATGACCTGAGCCAAAAGCAAGAGTCAGATGCTTAACCGACTGAGCCACCCACGTGCCCCAGAACTGGCTGCTTTTTCTGTATCTTAACCATAACTAAAGGTATCATCTAATTAGAAAAGCACAACATGAAACAAATCCAATAGACAATTGTCCTTTCTTTTTCACAAAAAAAAAAACTAAAAAAAAAAGTAGGCTTTCCTCATTTGATATTTCTTGTTAATTACTCAAATTATTTCTATCAGTTATTAAATATATATAACAAGTGCTCTGAACACTGCTGGTCTCATTCAAAATAAAACTGTTTAATTCTATAACCTGGAAGAATACAGAAAATTTCAAATGAAAATGGTTACAACTGTAAAATGTGCCTCTATGAGGTAAAGTTAATGCTGGTGTTAGAAGTCAGGATTATGACTGGAGACAGGGAACGAGCAGTGATTTGAAGCACAAGCAGGACTTTCAGGGCCCGGGTAATGTTCGGCTTGTTGACCTATAGGCCGAGGTAACAGGGCTGGGTTCACTTTGTGATGATTCACTGACCTGCTCCCTTACAACTACAGCAGTTTTCTGCAAGTATGTTGTATTTCACTTAAAAGGGTTTATTTCAAAGAAAATTTTTTTCATTGTACATGGATTTTTTTTTCAAAGATATTTTTTAAATAAAGTGTCCATTTGAACATTTTCATTAGCTGTTAACTGTGCTTCAAGAGGCCAGATTTTCTTTGTGATAAGTGAAAATATCTTTATAACACTGAACATGCCAATCCAAATCCTTCAATCACCATCACAGAAGAACCAGTTAAAAGCAAAATGCCAAATGAAAATAGGAATTTAATTTGGTCAACAGTAAACTGCTGATTTTTATAAATGCAAATTATTCTAGCAAACTGTCAGAGGTGGTCTTTGAGTAGTTTTTTAGAGGTGGTTACTTTACTAATGACAAACATAAAAGTTGATTACATGAATTTAGTAGTTTAAACTAAGGCTGTTAAAAAAAGTAAATTAACTTTTTCTTAAAAGAAACAAGTCAAGGGACGCCTGACTGGCTCAGTCAGTTAAGTGTCCTCCGGCTTGATTTCGGCTCAGGTCATGATCTCAGGGTCATGAGATCGAGCCCCATCATGCTGGGAGTGGAGCCTGCTGGAGATTCTCCCTCTCCCTCTACCCCTCTCCCCACTTGTTCTCTCACGCTCCCAAGAAAAGAAGGAAAGGAAAGGAAGGGAAGGAAAAGGGGAAGGGAAAGGGAAAGGGAAGGGGAAGGAGAAGGGGCAGGGGAGGGAAGGGAAGGGAAGGGAAAGGAAGGGAAGGGAAGGGAAAGGTAGGGAAGGGAGGGGAAGGGAAGAAAAGGAAGAAAGACAAGTCAGTTAATTAATGGAAAAAACTGGACTTAAAGGTGCTTTTCAGCTTTGGATTCAATTATGTAAGTTTAGATTCAATCGTAAGTATTTGTTGAAATGAAAGAACAGTTATGGGTTTTAAAAATAGTAGAGGAAGACACTCTACTTAAAATCCTTTAAGAACAAAGGAGAATATAAATTAAGACATTTTTAAACCACCATACAATAAAGCAGCAATAATAAAAATGGGTTTTACCCAAACATACCACATATCTTCTGAGGGGTTTGAACAACTCTAACATTTACTACTGAAGAGTGGGGACTGTTTAAGTTAGAATGGCAATTTTCATGCCAAAATTTCAACAAAAAGACTCACATGAGACTATGAGGCTGGGTCTTCAGCCAGGTATTTTGTTTGCTTTCATTTTTTACTGTTTCCAGACAACTTTGTTCAGGTGTGAAATAAAAATGATACTTAAAAAAACAAGACTAAGATTCATGGGATTTGAGCATACACACTGTTTGGGCTAATTTAAATAATGCTCTAAAAATGACCAAGTAAAACCTGAAAACAAAGGAAAGCAGCAACTCCTTCTAGCACAAACCACCGGCTAAGCCACCCGACCTGAGGGCCCGAGAGAGAGCAACCATGGGCAGAACTCACTTGACTGCTCTCTAAGATGCCCTAGAACTTAAGACTATACATCACATTTCTATCTGGTAACTAAACATTACTAGCTCTAATCACCTCTAATCAAATTATTGAACTGTGCCTCTTAAGTACGGCACTATCTTCTGAATTACTAAAAAAATAAAGTAATAAACATTTATAGCACACATAGGCTATGGACCCGTTTTCTGAAACTAAACTGGAGACCAAGAAGCATCAGTCACAGACAATTAAATACACAATGTATTTCTTACATACTTTTTCTATTGCTGAAAACCTTACACTGAGGAGGAAAGCTTAGGACAACCAATGTTACAGACAGTAAGCTAGATAGTCAACGCTTCAGTTTTAAGATTCTTAAATATTTTTCTTCTTTCAAGGGCACTTTCTGTGGCTTATGTAATGCTTTTGTACATTTGTCATTTAGTATATAGTACTTAGTCTACCTCTATTATTAGAGGTAGATATATAATATATTATATATATTATATATAATAATTCTATTATTAGAATTCTAATATAATATATATATCATATATATAATAATTCTATTATTAGAATTCTGTAAGGTGAAATCTCTGATAAAACTCTTTAGGAGTTATCAGAATAAAGGAAGAACTAACTTTTCTCCTTATCTGGACCTCATCTTGGAATAACTGAAACCGATTAAAAATTCTCACACTGATAGTGTCAACTGTTTGTATCTCCTAGTGAACAACAAACATACCTAATGTTGTTCACTTCTTTCATTCAAAAGACATGTCTACATCAAAGAAATTGTACATTTAGACTATAAAGGTGTAATGTACACGTCTTCATTATTTAATGTATGAGTAATAAATTCCAAATGTACTATAATTAACTCTAACAAATAACTAACCATGTTATGGTCAAAAATTTCATTTAAAAAGTACTCCAACCATAAATCTGTCCACCAAAGTTCTATCAGTTTATGTCTCTTTAAAATGTAACTGAATTTAAAAACCAAGAAAGAAAAACACTTAATGATTTTTCTGTGGCTTTTTCCTGGGCTGCTTTGTTCAATCAAAAATAATTTAAAGAGGCATATTCACTGCAAATAATTACAGTATTTAAATTCAAGACAATTTTAAAAAATAAATTTTGAAAAATATTTATTAATCATTAATATTACTTTTATGTCATACTGGATTTTCAGCTACTGTAAATATATATATTAAAATCAATTTCTACATATAGGCATTTAATACATTTATAAACAGATAAATCAGAACATCTATCTAAAAGACACCTAAGATGGTGCTATAAAAAAACTAGGAACCTAAATTTCCAACAGGGAAACGGTTAAGTATCAAGTCTAAAATATAAATATGTAACCTTAAAGTTATAATTATGAAAGTTATTTTTGTGGGATTATTCTACTTGGGGACTATAACTTTGTAAAAAAAAATATACACATTTGGACAAGGACTAAAAGGGAACAAAGTAAAAACAGAAAGCAGAAAATGTGACTAGACTTTCAGGTGTCTTTTTTCCTTTTTTCATTTATCAGTGACAAACTGCTTAAATAAAACATCTGAAAATATTTATGAGTCTCAGAGTAAACATTTGCTACCTATTTATGCTTTTGTACATAAGTACAAAAAGTACAAAGTGAAGTAAAAAGTAAAAGTACAAAGTAAACATTTACTACCTATTTATATTTAATTTTCTCATTGTTGCAATGGTATAAATAAAACAGCCTATGTATACCAAATATATGGCTTCTGTAGATCCAGGGGATGTTCTAAACTAGAATTCAGAGTTGGTCTTTAAGTTTATGCACCTTTCTTAAGTCTAAAAGATTGAAGCTGGAATCAAACTCTCTTGAAAGTAAGAAAGCCTACTTTTGGGGGATACTATGTAGATCAAACATCTGTAAAATAAAATTCTTAAAGAGTCCTTCTGAATAACTGAACTTATATATGTATATCCCCATACTTTTTGTGCTCTAGTGTTATCTTTTTTTTTTTTTTCTTAAGAGGAGAGGAAGGGGGGGGCGCAGAGGGAGAGGGAAAGAGAGAATCCCAAGCAGGCTCCACACCCAGCATGGAGTCTGACACAGGCGGGGCTCAATCTCACAACCCTGAGATCATAACCTAAGCTGAAATCAAGAGTCGGACGCTTAACTGACTGAGCCACCCAGACACCCCCAGAGGTCTTACATACTTACCTTCATCTGCCCTATTTATTTCGTGTTCAGGAAGCCTGGAGCTGGTGGGTCTGGAAGGTGAACCCACAGATGGCTGCAATGAGGGAAGTTCATCAACATCTCTCAAATTAGCAAGCATATCTTGTAGTTTTGACCTATTGGGCCCTAGCCCAAAAACAGGGAGGAAGAGAACAAAAAAGAAGAGAATTATTCAACTGCATCAAAATGGTGCCACAAACTTTATTCACATCTCCCTACATTCAGCTTTAAAATTACCCTACCATATTAAAAAATAATTACTTTCCAAGTTTTCAAATTATTTTAAAAGTTTATTTCTTGAGAAGCATTATGTTTTACATATATTTTAAAAATTAAGCTAAAGGAATAATATTGCTATTTGCATGAAAAACAATGTTCATGTGTAGTTTGAACCATTAAAAATCGTATTATTCTATAATCCTTGTATATTATTCCAAATGCAGACAGATACCACGGATTGTGAAGCTACTGTGTACTGCATTAAACAATAACATCCCTTTTTGTTTGTCTGTTTATGTTAAGTTGCATTCATTGCCTTACATCCTGAAACTATGGTACCCGAGGTGAAATCTCACGCCCTACTGATTACTTACCTGAGCTTTGATTCTTCATTCTCCCACATCCCTGTTTTGACTGTTTTATATAGGATAGAGGCTGAAACAGATCTTCGGTAGTTTTTCCTGTTACAAGTTTAATTAAGAATGGGAAAATCTTACCCATAGTCCATTATGGTTTTTTTTTCCTATACCAGCAAAGAATACAACTACTTTTAAGCAATTTTAACTAATACCTAGAAATATATTTCAAGACAGTATGATTGGAATACACAATTTGACTGGAAATATTTCTACTAGACCATATCAAAAGGACTTGATCAAACTTTTCCAATGAGTAATTTTTAATTCAATTAAAAATATTTATGGTGGTTTATAAATCCATGCTTCATATATCAAGTCAAAGCTTTGCTTCAGTTCTGTTTTTATGTCTTCACTTGTTCCCAGATCACCATTTTACTAAGACAACATGAACTGACAGCAATAAACAAAATGTGCTGAGCCTCACTCTGCAGTCCTTCTATCCTCAATGAAACACATTAAAATTTCTCTTCCTGCAGTCATTTTTCTTCATCATACAAAAAAAAAACTATGTGCTATCTGCCTGCCTAGTGATCATAATCCCCAGTCAGGAAATCCAATAGCTTCCATCAGTAGGAATACTGTTCCAGTCAAATGGTGCCATTTTAGATCTTAAGTGCTAAATTCCAACTACAGCAATGCCTTGATATTTGACAAGAACTGAATCATCAATATAAGAGTAGGTGGATTCTACATAAGACCTAGATATCCTTCCAATTGAGAGATGTTTTACATTTGAAGACTTTCATTATTGCAGCATAAGGACTTAAAGAAATACCAACTTTAAGCCAATCTGAAAATTAAAATATTCTTTCTCATTTATGATATTTGCATTAAAATTTCAGTATAACTGGTTTTGCCATGGTCTGCAAAGTGGTAATAAAGCATGTCTCATTACTGTTTAAGATTAAATTTTTTATCCATACATTTGGATAAAAGGTACAAAACGCTCTTAGGTTTTAATATTAATCTTTCTCACTGTGATTTAATTTATATTGAGGAGGTATCAAAGAACATCATCTCAGTTATGTAATAGTTGATATAATGATAACATCAAAAATAGTCACTGACTTTTTATCCATTCAAGCTAAATACTTGTAACACCTAAAATATTTTTAATAAAGATTTAAATGTTTATCAGTAATGACTACACTACTTTTTCCAACTTTTAAATAGAGGTTTCACTAAACTGGATTTTAATCTTACTTTACACTACTTTAATATCCCAAAGGATGCAATTCCTTCTGCCATAAAAGGGAAACCCATGTTCATATTGTCAATGAGAGTGGAAGCACAAGGAGGTAGTTTAGCCTTGCTCTCCTAAAAAGGGTGTTTTAGATGGTGTCCAGGGATGCTTGAAAGACTTTGTATTTCCACTTTACTTTAATTAGTTCTACTGCAAAACCTAATAATTTGTATAATGAATTTTATATATATATATATATGATTCACAGGGCTAGCAATTTCATTTTAGCTTCCATTTTTGATATGGTAGACATCTTATTAAAAAGGAAAAAAGCTAACTGATATTACTATAAATGAAATTGGCCAAAATTTTTAAATTAGAAAATAAATACTTTTAAAAGTTGTGTATTTGACTCTGTGCCCTGCATAGCATATAGTGGTGAAAGCAAATGAACTGTTTATGAACACAGAGAATATTCAGGGGTAGAAATTAACTTTGTCTCCAAGTCCAAAAATAATATGCAATAATTTGGGTGGATTGCCAGAGGGTCATACTAGATGAGATTTAAAATTGTCAACAGCGAAAAATCATTGTGGTAATTAAATATATATACTTTAAAAATGAAATTATCACTATGTTTTGATTATATAGTCCCACACTCTCATGAGGCTCTAGATGTATTACCGGGATATAGTATGGTTCCATAATCATATGCATGGTTGTTTTTATTTTTTTAAGGTCATACTCAAAGAGCTAACCATTTAATTTCAACCCCTGAGAGCAGGTGAAAAGGAAAGAGATCAGGAGCAGAAAAGAAAATGAGTAAGTGGTTTTAGGAAAACATTGAAAAAAAAAAATTGGGGGATATAAAAGAGGCAAGTTTTATGATTTACAGATACAATGTTTTCCACTTACTCTTCACCCCCTTTTTCCCCTTTCTCTCCTTTTTGTATTGTTCCTTGAGTTTGGTAATTACTCCCTGGTCCACATTCCAGGCTTCAGGCATGAGACACTGGTCTTCCTTTTCTAAATAGAGTGAAACAAATGAAACAGCCTTTTTAAATAAGATATTGAACACTGTAAGTCAATTCACTGTTATGTCACTGAATGACATAACAACCATTTTGTTCATCGTATCACTAATTTTAAAAAGTCATTGCTTATTCTTTAGATGTATAAGTCATACAAAATATAATATCTAAGAAACAATTCAATTTCCTAGGTAATAAGAAATTTCTCTTGAAAAAGACATAGAAAAAAAAAAAAACCCTAGAAGATTTGAGTGACTTTTAGTAAATTAAGCCCAAAAACTCTAGAAGAAGCCCTCATTTTCTTACTCAATTAGGACTGCTCATAAAAAAATTTCTTATTAATTTATGTAATGAGAGATTATTAAGAGATTATACAAAATAGTCTTCAATAATCTTTTCATTTTACAAATTTTATATTTTTGGCATGTGTTCATCAACTAATGATCATTTTTTTTTTTACAGGCCTTATAAATAGCACTTTTTTTTATTTTCAAAAACAACTTTATTCATGACACATATTTAAAAAAAAACCCCACCCCCTGGAAATGAGCTAAAAAAATAAACAAAATCCACCTCCCACCTCCCTGTTCCCACTTCCTCCCATTCCCTCCAAATAAAAGGGAAAAAAAGGCAAAGGAAAACAAAACAAAAAACTGAAAAACAAAAAACGCCCCCAAACCCCCCAAAACAAGGTAGTGCATTTCCCCAGGGGGTAGGGGAATTTACACTGGAGCCGCTGGGAGCGGAACGGAGATCTTCCGGCTACAGAAACCTGAAAAGAAAGACACTCAAAACAGAAAAAGAAACACAAAAGGAAACAAAAGAGATCACCAGGCAATCTGGAGGAGCAGGGAGCCGGAAAAGAGGAGTGGGGTGGGTGGCAGATCTAGCAGGACAGGAGCAGGTGGAGGGGACTGTGAAAGTTAGGGAGAAGATGGAGGGAAGGTAACAAGCAGAACAGTTTGGTGTCCTTCCAGAGCCCTGGGTAAAAAAAACCCTCCTACCACCCATGCCCACCTACCCTTGAGCAGCCCCCAAGGGGGTGAAGTGGGACAGGGAAACATGGGACAGGGAAACAAGGGGAGCAGTTTGAGCAGTTGAGACGTGTCCATGGCGAATCCCCAGAGTGAATGAGCAGCCCCCTGCCCCACTCCCTGGGCCTTCCCCTACTCCCCAAAGCAGGTCCCTCCTCAGCAGCTAGTTATGGGATTCTCCCCCCTTCCACAGTATATCTTTTTTTTTTTAATTAAATAGCACTTTGTAAACTTATCAGTCAACCTTCATTCAAAATTTAAAGCAATTTAAGTGATTTGTTTACAAATTCATAAACAGGAAACTGAGCTCTTAGTAGATAAGAAATTCAATCAATTTTCACTATTACAGGAGAAGAAATTTTAAAGAATGTGTTATATATTTTATATTAGTATAAAATTACTTATATACTATATAATGCTATGTTTTAGCTCAGAACTCTCACTTGAATTCAAGACTCATATATCCAACTGCCCTAGACTCTACATTTCCATTAGAAAGTCTAACAGATCTCAAACTAAATGTAAAAAACCAAATTCCCAATCTTCCAAATCCAGTGTTTCATCATCCTTCCATTTGCTCAGACCAAAAACCTCCCTTTTCTTCCATATTTCACATCAAGTATTTCACAAAATACTGTTTTTTCTATCTTCCAAACACATCCAGAAACTGACTACTTAGCACATTCTCTACTTCTCTAAGCTCTTAGCAATTCTAATTGCTAGAATTACTCCAATAATCGTCTCCTCTCCCCTCACACCAAGACTATTATCAACACTGGGTTCTCTCTCAATAAAGCCAGAATGATGCTTTAAAATCAAAGTCAGATCATGGCACCCTTCTGCTCAAATTCCTCCTGTGGTTCCCCATCTCACCAGTGGTCTATGGCCCTACATGATTTGGTCATTTCTTACCAAATTCCCCCTTAGAATCACTCTGCTCTAGCCATTCTGATGTCCTTGAATTCCTCAAGCATATCAAGGCTGCTGCTATCTTGGGGCATTTGCTGTGGCTTTCTTTTTCCTGAATATTTCTTCCCTAGAAACCATATTGCTAACCCACTAATCAACTTTGAGTCATCTGTCCAAATGTTACCCCCGCAATGGGACCTACCCCATTACAATTTTAAATTGTAATCTGTCCCCTCCACTTCACCCCAACCCCAGCACTCTCTATTCCCCTTACTCTGTTCTACTTTTTCTATTTTCCATAGCATTATCACCTTCTGACATGCTCTATCATTTATGTTTATTAAAGCTTATTGTCTACATTCTCTTAGTAGCCTATATGGACCACAGGAGTAGGGATCTTCACCAAATGATTTGGCACATACAAAGCATTTGATCAATATTTGTTGAATGACTGGAATAAACCAAAATGAATCGGAACAAATAGGAACCTATTTTTAACAAGTTAAATTTCAATCTACAGGTCAAAAAACTTAATTGGGCTCCTGAAAAGATTAAACATAATAAATTTAAAAACTCAACATTTTTATAGTTCTAACTATAATCTATCAATAATAAAAAGTTTCTACTTTCCCAGAAAGATCTAACAATTAAAAATGTTAATATTTCAGCAATCAGGTCTTATTAATTTAAACTGGGTAGCTTTTGGATCCTACAACGTCTTCAGTTTTTTAAATTAAAAGTTAAGCCTTATTGTAATCTTCACTATACTCACAACAATAATAATGGAAGATCATGGAAGATGTGTGGTAAAATCTATTTACTTGCCAGAAACAAGAGATTCTTAACCTAGGCATATTCACTCCTTTTTTAAGGCGGAAGGGGAAAAATAAATAAAGCACTTAAAATGGTTTAAAAGTCCATTCAACTAAACAGGATTTGCAATCTAGTTCTTTTAATTGCTTAAAAGTGAAATTTTCTGAATATGAATAATAAAATCCTAAAAACACACAAGGCTAAACTCCTGATAAGGAAACCTCTAGTCAAATGAAAGATTCCATTCACTCATATTCAGAAATACCCAGTACACTACTAAAGAGTAAGACAGCTCAAAGGTGGGACCAGTCACTCATGTTTTCACCAGTAACTTCCTAGGAGGTTAGCTGAAAACGTACACACATGTATCATATAAACTCTGGGCCATGACTCGCACTATAAAGCAAAAGAAGTGACACAAGAAACAATGCATCTGTCTTTGGAGAGAAATGAATCACGAAACCCTTGCAGTAAGACTGACAATGAAAAAAGCCAACTATTATTTATGCAGATGTATGACTCCTCAGAGAAAGACTTCTGTGTAGACAGTGGATCTAGCTATATTGGTAGAACTGGTGTCTAAAAGATCTGAGTAACTTGATAAATAAACTCAGTAGTAACAATACAGAAAAGAGATTTTACTTCAATATCCCCTTGGTTTCCAAACTTTGTTCTGTTGCAAAAAAATAATAATAATAATTATAGTCACTTTACAGCCATTATATATTTCAATGACTAATTGTCCCGTATAATTACCTTCAGATATTTGCCACAAAAAAGGAAAAGAAGTGGCTTTGTTCCTTGACTACAAAAAATTCTCAACAGGTATTTGTGTTCTCTGAAGCCAAACTGATGGTATTTTGTGATCCACAAGATGTTGGGTTATGCATAAATTATTAAGAAACTTGGGTTTTTACTCCCAGAATATGATGTTCATTCTTAAGAAACTCTGCAGGATCATGTATTGGATAAGAACAGTTTTGTAAGTATGTAAAGATGTCATAAATAAATAATACCTCAATTTAAAAAAAATAATAGTCACTTTATAACCATTATATATTTCAATGACTAATTATCCTGTATAATAATTACCTTCAGATATCTGCCACAAAAAAGGAAAAGAAGTGGCATCATAAGAGTTCCTGAAGGTAAAGCCCCAAGGAAAGCCCCCAATTTAAAACCAGGATAGTTACTGATTCTCTAACTCTGTCTTTAAAGAACATAAAACCACAACTAAGGGAGTCCTGGAATTCTTCAATCTCAACAGAAAATTTTCTCTCATTCTCGATATCTGTCTCTCTCTCTTCCTCACTCATACTACATGTACACACACCTGCTAGAACTGATCACTTTTGAAGAATTCATCACAATCCTACCTTACTGATAGCAACAATTCATTTCCAAACCCAAAGAACAATCTATGCTTTAGAATTCTTCCCCCAAATACTTGTTTTACGTCATTAGATGTTTAAAATATTAAATCTGTTTAGAACAATTTGCACCAAAAAATTCTATGCCTTGCACAAACTGCTGAAATCTGCCTAGATTGAATAACTATAGTTTTTTAAATTTATACTTCTTTTTCACAGAAGATGCCAGAGATGAGTCTCTAAAAACTCTTCTATTACATTCTCAAACTCAATTTCCACAAAATCCAGATTTGCAAGTTCTACTACCTAGGCAGGAAACATAGAACATTCTGTGTATGGATTCAAATTATTTTCATGGTATACTGCTCATATTAAAAAAAGATAACTAGTTGTACAGCTTCCTTTAAACATGCACACACAGATATACACCCTGGATAAAAGGTAACAACAGTAAAAAGTTCATAGGATGTTCAAAATTTCAACATTATAAGAAATTTACAGTGTTCTTCAAGATGTTGCCCTCCTGGTAAAATACTAGTTTCTTTTGTTTACTTAACACCTCTGGCTGGATCCAGTATGTTTCCTTACCCCATTCTGTTCCATCACCTGCACTTCTAGACTCATTGTCTCCTTCCTCTGATGTAACCAAGAAGTCAAATTCCTTTAGAGCTTCTTTTGTATCTCGATCTTCACTGCTATCAGGTAATGCTTTTTTCCTAACAATCTAATGAAAAAACATGCTAAGTTAAAATTTTAGGGTATATTATGAAATTTATTTAAATAAAGGAAAACAGTATCTTTTTTTAAAATTTTTTATTGTTAATCACCATACATTACATCATTAGTTTTTGATGTAGTGTTCTATGACTCATTGTTTGTGCATAACACCCAGTGCTCCGTGCAGAATGTGCCCTCTTTAATACCCATCACCAGGCTAACCCATCCCCCCACCCTCCTTCCCTCTAGAACCCTCAGTTTGTTTTTCAGAGTCCATCGTCTCTCATGGTTCGTCTCCCCCTCCGACTTACTCCCCTTCATTCTTCCCCTCCTGCTATCTTCTTTTTCTTTTTTCTTAACATATGTTGCATTATTTGTTTCAGAGGTACAGGTCTGTGATTCAACAGTCTTGCACAATTCACAGCACTCACCATAGCACATACCCTCCCCAATGTCTATCACCCAGCCACCCCATCCCTCCCACCCCCCACCACTCCAGCAACACTCAAGTTGAAAACAGTATCTCTTTATCACTGAATGAGGAAACCCAATTATTGGCTTTTTCAGAAAGTATACCTTTGTTATGTTAAATAGCTATAATACTTAACCAATTCAATGTAAAACAGGTATCATTTAAAAAAGATATACATTACACATTTTAAAGTAATAATTTAAACTTTGTTCAAGGATAGCTTGTTTTGAGTAAGCTAATGAAATCATATATTGAAAACACTGGAATATAAGATAGGTATTTAAATTATAAATAGATGAAAAATGTGCCTGACATACTACTGTACTATGAGAACTACAACCATATCCTCATATTTCTTGGATGCACTGTGCAATGTACAGACATTCTAATCTAACCAAAAAGAGAAACACTTCATAAAATACAAGTTTTACAGAATATAACGATGATGTTAACTCTACTACATAAGTCCCTAAAAATATCTAAAATTATAAAAACTACAAACTCATAAATGCATGCCTCAAGTCTCAGAAAGTATGGTATTAGAGAAGGAAAAAAACTTCCCCCAGTACCTCTACTGTTCCAACCTTGCATCAGTTTTCTCTAATAACTCTTTATATATTCAAATTTTTTCTAAAATACTGATCTTTCCAAGTGGGACTTGACTTAGATTCAATAGCCAATCTGATAAGGGCTGTTATGTCTTGTTTTATGTATTTACGAATATCGCTGGAATCACAAATCCAGTTGGAGGACTGAAATTTAGGCTTAATGTATGCAGAGATAACTTTTGAGATCTCTATGTCAAAACTCTTTATGAAATTATCTTCTTTTTAGTCACCTCCATTACCAGAAGCCCAAAGAAATTAGGATGAATGGTTTGCAGCTTCTTTTGATAAAATGGATTCACTATCTCAGCTTCTCCGGGCCTCAGCTTCTTCACTTCATGCAAAATGGAAATAGCATGACCTGATCAAACTTTATCACTGAGTTACTGCAAGTGGATTAAAATTATAAGAGTTCAACAAAGTGATCAATGGGACAGAATACAGAGCCTAGAAAGACTCTAAGAGGTAACAAATACCTGACTTGTACGCCCCTGTTCTCATGCTCATTCCTGGTATCACTCACCAATCACAGCACTTTTCATCTAAGATCAGATACAGCCTCAGAAATCTTTCTCAAGTTCCTCAGAAAGTTAAAAACAGAGCTACCCTACAACTCAGCAATTGCACTACTCAGTATTTTAGATAAATACTGAGTTTAGATACAAAAATGCTAGATTTAGATACAAAAATGCTGATGATTCAAAGGAGCACATGTACCCCAATATTACAGCAGCACTATGAACAACAGCCACATTATGGAAACAGCTCAAAGGTCCATGGACAGATGAATGGATAAAGAAGATGTGGTATAGATATACAATGGAATATTAGTCATCCAAAAATGAAATCTTGCCATTTGCAACAACATGGATGGAGCTACAGAGTATAATGCTAAATGAAATAAGTCAGTCAGAGAAAGACAAGTATCATATGATTTCACTCACTTGTGGAATTTAAGTAACAAAACATGAATATAGGGGAAGGGAAGGAAAAATAAAATAAGATCAAAACAGAGAAGGAGGCAAACCATAAGAGACTCCTAACTATAGAGAACAAACTGAGGGTTGCTGGAAGAGAGGTAGGTGGGAGGATGGGCGAAATGGGTGATGGGCATTAAGGAGGGAGGGCACTTGTTACAATGAGCACTAGGTAGTATATGTAAGCGATGAATCACTAAATTATATTCCCGAAACCAATACTACATTATATATTAACTAACTTGAATTTCAATTAAAAAAAAAAAATCCTTCTCAGTGTAGCACTCCAGGAAGCCACTATCAGAAGAAAGCTGGTGCAGTAGATGAAACCTAATCTGCCTTCACTACCCTGGTATATATAAAAACTGAATAGGAGAAATCAAGGATTCTTTAATGCTGCTAGAATAACTGGTTTAACTATTTAGAGTATTTCCCTAAAACCTAGACATACTTTTATGTTTACAGCATATTCCAATCTCCCATCCAGCAAATCTAAATAAATAATAAAAAAAATGTTTAAAAAAATATTCATGAGAGACAGAGAGAGAGAAAGAGAGGCAGAGGGAGAAGCAGGCTCCCAAGGAGCAGGGAGCCTGATGCGGGACTCGATCCCAGGACCCTGGGATCATGACCTGAGCCAAAGGCAGACGCTTAATCATCTGAGCCACCCAGGCGCCCCAGCAATCTATTAAACAAAAAAGTTTGACATACTGAGTACAGAAAACCCATGCTGAAGGTGTATTCTTTTCTAACTATATGCTAATAGTTTTTTCTAATTTTCTCTGGGCAGCCAAACTAAGGTAGAAAAGTATCCCTGAAGAGTTATACCAATAGAAGACGCTGACCTTCATTGTTCCACAAATAAACACACTGCCTAATTCATCTTCTTTCACCCTAGAGGCTTGATTTCTCCCTTCCCCCAACCCCGATGAGACACCAGATATGAATTAGAGGGGCCATCACCAACACCTTGTAGATAGAGAATTCTTGTTCTCAATGCCTGATGAAAAGGGCAGGGAAAATACGTAAGTATCTGGAACCTTATATTGAAAAGCTGAATGTATTTTCAACATTCTAATTACTAAATATGGTAATAAGTCACAAAATTAACTCCTTGGGAAAAAATCTGTTTCTAGGTCTCTCCTCCATATAACCTTATGAATGAAGATACGGCAAGTTGCAGGCCACTTTCCATCAAGTCTCCCACTTAAATAAAAACTCCTGTGTTTTTAATGGTTAGGCATATAAGAAAAGTGCAGTTGCCAACAGAGAGTAGGATTAGTAAATGGGAAGGGGTGGGGTTTGTTATAATAAGTATATATTACTTTTCCTTACCTTCCAGATTCTACTCCACTCCTACCTCTAATGAGTTTAGAAGCCAACTTAAGAATTAAGGCAAACACAAAAAAGTTATAGGTTGCACAGGGTGCCACAAAGATTAGAAAAAAGGATAGACGGCCACTTTGGTTTTAAAACCATTAGAAGAAACAACACAGATGGGGATGACACAATAGTTAATGATTCTTAATCCCATTCCTTTTCCTCCTAAAGTATCTGAATGTGGAGACTAAATCTTGCTGGTGAAGTTATCCTTCAAACATTTTAAAGTTGGTCACTTTTTATACACATGTATAATTTCAAGGTCATTATTACACTTAACTAATGATACTACGGTGAGAATGCAAAACAATGATGGTAAAGAAAAATAAGGTGAAGAGGTTGATCATGAAGAAGGAGGAGATATAGAGGAGGGATATGACCCAGAATATAACCCAAAGAATAATCAAACTCCAATAGAGGGTAGAGAGCAAGAAGACAGCATATGCAGCTACACACAAATGATAGTTACTAATAATCTATGTCTCTATATTTTTTTAGTTGAATCTACCAAACTATTTTGATTAAAGAAATAAAATAACAGTTTAAAAACCTGTTTGTTCTACTAAAGATTTTAATTGCAATAAATCTTTTAAGTCATGCGTACTCATTGCTACATAGAGTTAGACTGTGAAAGTCCTTTTGGTATGTAACTATTAGCCTGCAGCTGTGAAAATTAATGTAATATATCCTAAAACTTAACAAAGCTGTTACAAAGAAACCAATTATTTGTTTAGGGATAATTTTTCCTGAAAAACTAAAGGATTTTTGAGTCCATGCTTAAATGGGGTTAAGTATGTTTATATTAGCTATGCCTTCACTGCTTGGTCACAGAATTGCTATAATCTGCACTAACTGCAAGACAGGAACTTTATGAATTTGATTACTTAAAAAGAAACCAGGTTATGGTTAGGAATTTCTAGTAAGACCATACTTAATACTTAAAGCATGATAATCAATTATCATTTACCACTGAGCTAAGAATAAAGTATTTTGATGGGAAAATAATATTTCAATGCAACTGGCCCACAGAAATCACAAAGCAGTACAAAACTTCCAAATGAACAGGACAGAGAAAAAGTATCATACAAGTTTAGGCATTTTCTTTTACTAGAGTAAATTAAAACATATGCTATTACTACCTGTTTGGATAAGAAAAATTGGGGGTAACTACTTGAAGTTCAAATAATATCCATGGCAAGGCTATATCAGCAGAATAATACTGCAGAGTGGCTCAAGGAAACAATAATCTGGAAGTAATAATTTGAGAGTCTCTGATGGAAGCAGAGGACATAAAGGAGAGAAGTTATACCCAGAAAACATTTATATCATTTTTCATATATAGCATCTCATTTATTGCTCACAAAATCCTCGAAGATAAGATGGGTATTTATAATTCCCATTTTACAAACTAAAAAACTAAGCCTGAAGGGTAAGAAGCACAGATAATTAGTGACAGAACTGGGACTTAAACCCAAAGCTTTCAACTCTAGGTCCAGTGGACTTCACTACCTTGCTTTCTTCCTTACTCTTCTTAAATAAACATGAAAGAGGAAATGTAAACATTTTTCTAGACAAAACAAAGCATGCCCTCATCTATTACTTAAAGAGAGGAGGAGGAGGAGGGAGGAAGGAGAGAGAGAAGAGAGGAGAAGGAAGAAAAAGTAGGGGGAAAAACAGGGAAGAAAGGAAAAAAAAAACAAAAAACCAGGACGAGCTGAAGGTGACAGAATGGAGAAGAGAAAGGAGAAGAAGCAAGAGACACCTCTTATTCCAAGAAACCACCATGGGAAAGTCAATAAACCTATAAAGATCTAAACAAAACTACAGAATAACTTTAAACAAGTTTGAAGAAATCTAATGGAACAGTTCTAAAAATCTGTAACATTTGTCTACCAAAGCAACCCAGACAAGAAAGACAAAACTGCATCAATTAGAGGGGATGCCAGTCGCCATCAGGTACCATAATGGGTCTGTCAGTTCTATTGTCTTATAGCACCAACAACACTGCTTTGTTATAACACAAATATTTTTACCATATTCACCAGCTCTATTGAACTACTAAAATGTTTAATGAGTTAATAAATCAAAGAGTGAGAACCTTTAAAGATTTTTTAAATTTTTGTAAGTAATCTCTCTACCCAATGTGGGGCTCAAACTCACAATCCCAAGATCAAGAGTCATGCGCTCTACCAACTGAGTGAGGCACCCAGATGCCCCAGAGGATAAGGACCTTTTAAGAGAAAGCGGCCATCCTAAAAATATTACTGAATTTAAACTCAATACTAAAAACTCTTTGATGAAATTTCCCCAAATTCATGAGAAAAAGTTAAGGATTTAGGTTGAACCAATGGATTTTTTTTTTAATTTTTTTCACTTGGATTATTTTTAAAGTAACCATAATGATCCCTAAAAATATTAATATCTGTGTATCCAACTCACCGTTGAAGTATCAATGATGCTTTTCTCTCTTCCATCAATGTCATCATCTTCATCTTCATCACTGAAATCTGCAGCTGCACTTTCAAGGAATTTGAAATTATCCAGCACGGAGGCAGAATCTGTTAACTCGGATTTTCTGGTTTAGAACATGTACACCTTGCTCAGTTAATTTTTTAAACTCAACATAAGAATTAATCTATATGTTGCACTAACTTCTGTTTACATTGTAACTATGATCCCTCAAATCATATTATGAACTACACTGATTCTTATCCATCATATTTCCATGGATTTTAATTGGCAAAGCACAACAGAAGTGGTTACTCTTTTAAAAGTACTTTGCAGTCATATCTATTTAGGTTAATTAATATAAAGAACACCCCTCCTGATTCAGTATTCTTTTGATCCTTAAGTCAACTTTAATGTCTTTCTTTTTAAAAATATTTTTCTTATTACCTCTACTTCTATTTTTCTTTATTCTTTTCCTCTCTGCAACTCTTCCTCTGACATGTGAATTTCTATAACTAAGAAAATAGCTAGTAGATACATCAGTTTTCTCTGACACAATCCTATATTTCTACTGAACAGCTAAGGAGTTGAAAAAAACAAATACACATAAAGCTACTAAAGATAACTTAAGTCAAACTAATATTACTACAAAACTTGATCCTGTTAATGAATAAACCATTAATTTTTGAAATGATTGACTTTTCAAATACGTAAGATTTTAATTTGGTTTCCTCAAAATAAATTTAGTAAATAATTTCCTAATGGCCAGAATAGGATGATTTCTCTCCAGTTCATTAGGAAATGTTTTAGATAACAAGGCATTTTCTTAAAGAAAATTTAGCCACAACTCTAGACAACATTTCTAAGATAAATCTTAAATTTCAAATCTGGGGAGAGCTATGTTTTTGGCATCTTCCACCGTATTCTCTATCCCTACACAAATGAGACAGATTCGGAATAATACCCTTGTCAGTTCCAAAAGACAGGTCAAGGGCAAAACACAAGACAACTCAAGAGGACTTTTCTGAACATCTTTATAATGACTTATAATAACCCTGTAGGTAAAACTATAACCAGAAATAAGGCCTACATTGTCTATGCCTACACAAAGAAACAATCTAATCTTACATTTGTATAAATAAGTTAATGCAGTCTTAAATATTAATGAATATATTTAAGAAGGCTCCAGTGACATTTGTTTATAAAAGTTCGTTTATAGGAGTCCATCCTATTTTTGAACCTTTACCTAAATCCCATAATTTTAATGTTCCAAATAACAGAAATGATGTTCTCACTAGAAAATGTATAGAATTCAATTAAAACCATTCTTATAGTCCAAACATGCAGTAAAATGAAGAAAAATAATATTCAAACAATAAAAAAATTTAAAGAAAAAAAAGAATTCAAATCCCCCCCAAAAAAAGAATCATGCCAAATTTATTTTCAGTAAAGAATGTCCTTATTTAACTACTCATGTTCATTTTAAGCAGAATTACATATAATTGTATGACACATGATCCAAAAAGCAAAACAAAATATTTCAAACAGCTACTGAATTTTTCACACTTATTCTATCAATTAAAAACATACACTTAATATAGATATTTTTCAAAGGAAAAGATGAGTTACGGTATTATTAAATACACAAATGGCTAAGAAAACATTTACTTCTAAAAAATTTGAGGAATTTATAGGATTTTTAGGTCACCAGGAATGAAATTACATTCTTCTAAGATTTGAACTGAATCTCCTAAAGATGATCTTTTGTGAAGTTCTAATAGTAAATGACTGAGCTTCAAGATATTAAAATCTGTATTAAACCTATAGATTTCAAGCAAATAAAAATATCTTTAAAATATTCTTAAAATAATCATAAATAACTCTAATCCCTATGGGTTATCTTCTACCAAATGAAATTTCAATTTTTTAATTCAACTTTATAATCATTTCTGTAGCAGTATCTAAAATGCAAGTATCACAAGTGTCACCCATAAACCAAAACTATTTAATAAGCACTAAAATTTTAGCTAAAACTTTCTAGACAGAATACGTACCCAATCATTGCCGTCTCTTTAACTTCGGCCTCTGTGCCATTTATAACTGAATCCTGATTTTTGTCATCTTCCCTGTCAGTGACATCACTTGAAAAGCCCAACAAAGCTCGCACTCGTTTAGATTTCACATCTAGAATGGTATCTGTGTAACCCACCTCCTGTAGATACCTGCATGTGAAGAAGATCCTTACAATTCAGTCATACTGGAATCAGTATTCTATAACTTAATATGTAAATAAAAGTATTTCATTAAATTCATTGCCTGCGTAAGACTTAACAGTACAGTACTATGCTAGTAAGATGTGCTAATAAATAATCTTCCAGCTGCAGACGGAGCTGTCTCTTGCAGTACCAGCCTCTATGGTCACTGAAAAAAAATCAAAGAACTATACAATACACCATTCATTACATTTATCATAAGAAGAAGCTGTTCCTTAATATACCTAATAGCACATTCTTTCTTCTAGGCAGCAAACTCACTCTCAGATTTTTACAACAGTAATTATTATAACCAGTAGTTTTTTGTTATTTTTTTTTTACATTTCCGATATAGAAAGTTATTGAATCGTTTGAGATCCAGAGAGGATATTTCTAGCATATTTGGTTTCCTCCATGACACACAAGAAGAGTATATTCCAAAGAGTCATTTCTACAGAAAGGAAGCTTTTATCCTGAGACAACTCTAAAATAAAAATAGCCCACAGTTCAACTGTGGATGTGGGATGACTGTGTGCACGTGGGAGTGTGTGTTACAGAGAGGCAGCAGAAGAAAAGAGAATAGTTTTGTACTGAGAACTAGATCTGGGTCTAAAGCCCATTTCTGCTACTTTCTTCCTGTGTTAACTTTAATTCTCCTGGACCTCAGTTTTCTTCCCCCTAAAAGTGGCACACCTCGTTTAGTGGATGACATAAAGAAGGCACTCAATATCCATTAACAACAAAGATGACAAAAAAAGACCAAAAGGAATATGAAAAAGGCAAATGTCATTACTAATGCCATTAACAAATGTGATAGACAAATATTAGGCATGAACCTGTAAGTAAGCAGCAAATCTATGACATTAAGGAGAAAACAAAGGTGGACAAGATAACCAGTCTGAGGTCAGTTTATTTCAACATCTGGTATTAACAGATTAACAGCTCAAAGACATATTTCACAAAGATATGTGACCAAAGTGGAGTAAGTGTATCTTATCAAATCAGGATACTCATTTTTCAATACTATCTGATATTTACAGAAAGGTTTTGGTTAAAATTTGGACAATAAATGTTTAACTTTCTTGAATTTAATCAGTTCTTACAAACCAACAGGTTTTTCTGTTCTAAACAAATATTGGATACATATCTTTGGCAACAAAATCACATTAGAGATAACTGTTTCAAAAACCGCTCTTTCCATAGGTAAGTTGGCTTTACTCAGTAGCTACCTCCCTTAATTCATTGATAAAATGTCACCTTTACTTTAAAGAGACAGATTTATGAGTCTTAAAGTTTTTGAAAACTATCTCAGATTGCTTACTACAGTAACTACTTCTCATAAAAAAGAAAATGAGCACTTTAAAAACACATTTATGAAAGAAAAATGTAATACATCATATTTAAGACCAAGGTGAGGGCACGAGGAAAACCACTTATTAAATGTTAGTGAATTCTCATTTTTTTCTAATGCTGAATAGATAACAAATACATAAAAGGAGACATTTTAATATTCTCTTCCCATTAGGCAAAAGGAATGGTTGGCACAAATCCACTCTGGAAACCACTGGTGCAGACTACTCACAAGAAACTCAAAACTCCAAAAACATTTCATTTTAATGAAGCACAAATCAGAATACCAATTTCAAATGTGATATGCAAGGATAAGGCAGTGAGCTGGTTAAGTGGGCTGTAGCCTACCACCTGACATGTGAACCTCATTCCAGCTTTGTTTCCTCTTTATAGTCTCAAATACACATTTTATAGAAGAAACTACATGGTAATGCAGTATTTGCAAATTTGGGAAATTAAAAAAGTTCTTCAATCTATTTAAAATAGGAAGTTAAAAAACATAACACAAAATTACATCTAAATATTGATTAGACTTACATTAAGACATACCTATGTTCAGGTATAAAAGATGCAAAAGGTAACTTTAAGGGTATAGAATTCTTTTTTAAAAAAAGATTTTATTTATTTATTTGAGAGAGAGAGAGAGAGAGAAAGCAGAAGCAGGGGAGGGGGAGGGGTAGAGGGAGAAGCAGACTCCCCGCTGAGCAGGAAGCCCAATGCGGGGCTTGATCCCAGGATCCTGGGATCATGACCTAAGTGGAAGGCAGATGCTTAACGACTCAGCCACCCAGGTGCCCCTAGAATTCTTTCAAATGTAAACATAAGTGTATATTAAAATTTAGAAGCTTAAAGGTATACTCTTTAAGTTAAAATTATAAAAACAGAATTTATTCTTGGTAATTCTTATTAATATTTAATGAAAAATAAAACCTATTAGAGGAAAAAATGTTTACTATGAAAAAGGAACAATAATTCAATTAAGCTTTTTCACAGCAGCAGTCTTAATAATAAAAGATAAAATTATTGAGTTGAAAATGCAAAAAAAAAAAATACATATATATGTATCCTGATGAAAACAGACTTTTCTTTGTTTGACCACGGGATACTTACTGTCTGAGTAGTTGTCGACCTTGTTTCCACATTAACTGGCTGTTTTGCTGTGGCTGTACCTCTGTTTCATTACCTTCATCTGGAAAACATTAAATCATAATAAAAGTACCTTGTTTTATTCATTAGAGGGCATCTCAATTCATAAAATATGTCCAATAAAAATTTTTAAGATTAAGAATATGCAAAACTACACTGTAAGGTATATTTTAGGACAATGTATATTCTGTTTTTTTAATCTAATTTCCATAACAAAAATAATATAGATTCATGATTGCTACTAGATTCCCCTGAGCATAGGAGAACAAAAATAAAGACATTTTCCCAATCTCTAGTAGCCTGAGAATTTTCATCCAGGACAAAGACCTATTCAAATGAAGTCACACAATAAGAGTCAAATGAAAGTATTATGGAGCACCACATCAGAGCTAGAACAAAGCACTCAGGAATGATGACAGAAAAGCCAGTTTGGTAAAGAGTAGATAGGAAAGAAATAACTTCAATCCAAATCTATTTCCTTCACTAGTTACTAAATGAAAATTTCAAGTATTCTTTTAAAGACATTCTTTGAATGAAAACACCTAAGAAATCTTGTAAAGCTTAAATGCATCATTTGGTAGAAAGTGAACCCTTGCAAGAGGATAGTAAAATAAAAAGAGCCTTCTCTGTGATAAATCTGGACTACAGAATTTCCAAACTATACTCGGATTAACTTTAAAAATACAAAAAAGTTCACACTTTCTATCAGCCCTTGATCAAACTATAAGAAACTGTGATCTTTTTACAGGGTTTTAGTCACATGGAGATGTAAGAGAGACTGGGAAAATTTGTTTTATGATATTGATGTTAAGCATTTACTGTGTTCCAGATGCTGTGTTAAAAACACATTCATTATCTCTTTTAATCTTTACAACCTCAAAAGATAGGTGTTATTACTATCCCTATTTTAAAGATGAAAAAGATGAGTTTTATAAGTTAATTGTATGATTTCCAAGTTAGAAACACAGTTGTAAGTGCTGAAATCACGTCTGACTCCAGAGCTCATGTATTTAAAGAAATATGTAAATAAGAATGAGATCTTCCATTTTCATTTTTCTCTTAAATTAATTAGGCCAAGCTCTGTGATATACCAAAGAAACAGCAGTAGACCAGACTGTGGCAGGAGGATTAAGTTATCTCAACAAGGTAGATTACTTTGGGATAATCTCAGAAGGTATATAGTTTAAAAAAGGGGCAAAAATAATGTCCCCATACTAAGGAAAAACAACACACATCTTGTTTCCATTGACCCACAAATTCAGGAACTATGGTTCACAAATGGTTCCACAAATTCAGGAATATACTACGGTATGTTCTAATATATCTTCAGTCAAGTAAGCTATACTTGCCAAGTAAGAATACTTACACTGGCATTTTAAAAGACTAAAAATTTCATATGTGAAGGAACTTTTGAGGTCATCTGATTTCCCATCAGTATAGGCCTCTCTATTCCACCCTCAGATATACTCAACTGCCTTTGCCTACTTTGGAAGCTAGTGATGTTACCAAAGTACGACACATACACTCAGTGGAATACTACTTACAAGGAATGAACTATAGATACACACCAACATGAATGAATCTCAAATGCATTATGCTAAATGAGAAAAGCTAGAATCATAAGGCTATATTCTGTATGATTCTCGAATTCATATGACTTTCTGGAAAAGGCAAAACTATAGGAACATAAAACAGATGAGTGGCTGCCAGGGGATTAGACTGGGGACAAAGGGGTGGACTACAAAGGGCAGTAGTAACGAAACTGTGTTTGTGAAAACACTAAAAAGGTGAATTTTACTTATGTAAATGATGCCTCAATAAAAAATAAATTAAGCCAAATCAAGTAAGAATGCATTTTCACCTTCTTTAAAAAAGTGTACCCATGTACTGAGATAAAATCTGACTCCCTGGGTAACATGTTTTAAAAAAAAGTCTGAAGTTAAAAGAGAAAAAAAACTTTTGTACATGTGAACTTGATTTTCCCCACATTTCAATATTCAAGCTAAAATTCACAGCTCTCTCAATCAACTATCAGATTCACTCTCACCTTATCAAGTTTAAAAAAAAATGACATCATACAAAAGTAAGGATAATAAAGTGGTAAGAGTTGAACTACTTGGCAATAAAAAAAAGTAGTTGACTGGTAGTTCCAGTCAAGTTAGAGTAACAGGGACCCAATTTACCCTCCTGCTTGAAACAACTATAAAACAAAATAGATGAAATCATGGTTAAGACCTGATGTCAGACAACAAAGGACAACAATCCCTGAGAGAAAGGAAACACACAGTGAGCCCTGTGATTATTCCAGCTTACTGCCTTGACAGAGTTTCTAGATTGTGGCATAGGAAGGGGGAACAAAAACAGTATCTGAGGAAAGAATGGCTGAAAAGTTGTATATTTCATGAAAACTCTAAATCCACAGATCCAAGAGACTCAATGAACCCCAAGCACAAGAAACATTGGGGGGGGTCACCTGGGGACTACACCAAAGCACATCATAATGAAAATGCTTAAAACCAATGACAAAATGAAAAATCTTAAAAGTGCCAGAGAAAAAGGTCACATTCTGCATAAAGAACAGAGATAAGTTTGATAGAAGATATCTCATCAGAAACAATGCAAGCAAGCAAAAGAAAGACTTTCTCAGACACACAAAGGCTGAAAAAACTCATCGGCAGCAGCCCATATTACAGGATATATAAAAGTCCCTGAGGCAGATGGACTATGTATGACACTAGAAAATATGGATCCACACAAAGAATGATGAGCACTGGAAATATATACTTTTTATATTATTTAAATCTCTTTAAAAGAGAATTGACTAACAAAAATAATAATATAGTGCGTGACTTACAAGAGAAGCAAAATATGTGAAAACTGCCAAAGAGAGAGAGAGAAATCCATAGTTACAAGGCTCTCATACTATAAGAAGTGGTATATTGTCACTTAAAGACAGACTGTGGTTAAGCTAAAAAAAAAAAAAAAAGTATACCACCAAAATAGCAAAGAGTTATACCTAATAAGTCAGCAAGAGATAAAATAGAACGATAAAAAAAAAACTAGATTATCCCAAAGAAATCCATGAGAGGAAAAGGGATCAAAGAACAGACTGAACAAACAAAACAAACAGCAAAGGGGGTAGCTTTAAATCTAACCATATCATTAGTCACATTAAATGTAAATGGTCTAAACATCTCGATTAAAAGAATTTGTCACTCTGTATAAAAGTATTCTATTTTTAATATGTACGTGGTTTCTAATATTAAATAAAAGAAGCTAAAACATGGAAGATAAATAAATTTTAACATAACCTGGGGTAAAATTTCCTAAGGTAGAAATGTAAAGGTTTGGATACAGAATAAAATTGGGGGGGGAGTCAGAAGGGAAACTAATTTTATTGTGAAAAATGTCTCAGAAAAAGTCTGGATTATCAGTTTAAAAATATATATATATCGTAAATGGATAAAAGAGCAAAGACTAGAAGAATTCCTGCTTCTTTAAAGTTTACCCTGTTTGGGTAAACCCTCTTCTAGTCACTGTCTTCATCACTGTCACCCACAAATCCCTCAGTAACACTTGGAACTAGACTTACACGCTTCCTCTGCAACCAAACGTTTACCTCATCTTGAGCGAAGTTAATATTCATGCCTCCCCACAACCACCACCCTCTCTAGCTGTCATACCTTAGATTTTGTCATTATGAAGAACAGACGCAGATGCAAACTCTCTCTCTGAGCGTATTCTTCCGACTCATATTCCCACCTCACTAGTTCTTTCATTTAGCTGGGACCTTAGACCAGGGGCCAGCAAATTACAACCTGCAAGTCAAATGTGGCCTGCCATACTCATTCATTTGTGTGTTGTGGCTACTTTTATGTTAGAATGTCAGAGTTGAGTAGCTGCAACAGAGAACATATGGCCTAAAAAGCCCAAATATTATTATCTGGCCTTTACAGGAAAAGTTTGCTGGCCTGCTCCAGACCACAGCCTATCCCCTCTCTTCTACCCATTAGCCTCCTTTTGTCTTCACTTCCTTTCCTCTCTAGTTGTAGTTCACAGTCTATCACTTCAATTATTCTTTAGTCTATGTCCTCAAATTTCTTGTCTCTTTGGTCTCTCCATGAATTCAATGAATTCAACTAGGAACTATTTTCATTCTATTTAATTTTTGTCCAAGCTGTCAAGTATGCAAACCAATGCATCTATATAAACTCATGATCACAATTGTCAACTGGACCCTTAGCTTTTCTCAATCCTACTATTTGTTATCAGTTTGCCCTCCCGCTCATTATTATTTTAAACATTCTCTACTTTTCTTAAACCTATTATACATTCTTAGCAGGTAATCCAGTCTTACACATAAAGCTATCATATTAAATACCCACCACCAAAGTGAAACCCAAACCTACAAATCCATCACCTAACTTCTACATTCTTTTTTGGGAACAATAAAAGACATGCTCCTCCCACCATTCTCCAGCTAATTCAGAATCCAATCTCTGTGCTTCTTCAGATACCTTCCCATTCTGAATATGTCTTCTCTCTCCTTTTTATTTGCTCCTCCTCTAAGAAACACATCACTCACACACACACACACACACACACACACACACACACACACACACACAC